GGGAAATTCACTTCCCCCTCCCCCAGTGAGACCAGCAGCCTTGCTACTGCACAGGCCTCACCCTGATCACTCTGGCTGTTCCTGAGAGAACAGAAGCTCTGACCTCGGGTCCCCTCTGTTCTTTGTCTAGAAGCTAACACATCCTAACTACCACTGGGCAGAGTGATGACAGGGGGCCTTTTCTGATCACTTGCTCATGCTTCACAAATAATTGACACAGAGGCCTACGAGATTATTCAACAAGCCTTCAGCTCTATAACCGAGCAGATACTCATCTGTTCTAACCCTCTATGCTAGTCTGGCTACTTCCCAGCCACACGCCCTGAATTACTTGCCATACTGGTCCTGCCTGGTCTGCTTTTGCTCTATCAGGTCAGTCCTCATGGCCAGCTCCTCATGGCTACGGTCCTTTCTCTACCTCTTCCTCCTTCTCTCTCTACTTTCTTCTCCTCCTCCTCATTGTCCCTACCTGAGACTCCTAGACTGGCAATGGAAGTCCAACCTCCCTGTCCCTTCACCCAGCTATAGGCTGCTCAGCTTTTTTATTAACCAACCAGCGAAAATTGGCAATGCCCATGTCAGGACTGCAACCAGATCTGGGGCACAGAAATCAGCATCTGACCGACCTCTAACACCTGATAGCATGGCTCCATGGGAGCTGGCCCTGGCTGCAGGCGGCACTGTAGTCTCATTTCCTGCTTTCTTCCAGCATAATCTCTTTAGGCCCTTTGACAGGCTTCCATGTTTTTTCTCCCTTTCTATCTTAAAGGTACGTGTGTGTGTGTGTGTGTGTGTGTGTGTGTGTGTGTGTGTGTGTCTGCAGAGGCCAGAGGTGTCAGATCCCCTTGAGCTGTGGTTATAGGCAGTTGTGAGCTGCCTGATGTGTCTGCCGGAAGTCATATTGAGTCCTCTGATAACGCAGTACATGCTCTTAACTGCTGAGCCGTTTCTCCAGCCCTCTTCACCATAGTATTTGAGACACTTTCTCAGTGAAGGGTTTGGAGTAGACTAGCTGACAAGTGAGCCCCCGAGATCTACCTGTCTTCACATGAGGCACTCGGGCTATAGTGTGGATTTTGACATGGGTGATGGGGATTTAAGCTCAGGTCCTCATGCTTGAACTATAAGCCCTTTACCCACTAATCCATCTCTTCAGTTTGAAGCACATGCTGTTTTTTACGGGGGAAGGGGGTTCGATACAGGGTTTCTCTGTGTAGCCTTGGCTGTCCTGGACTAGCTTTGGAGACCAGGCAGGCCTTGAACTCACAGTGATCCGACTGCCTGTGTCTCGTCTCCGAGTGCTGGGATTAAAGGCTTGTACCACCATGTCCGACTGAAGCACAGGTTTTTAATCCTGGAATACTTTCTTTCTGCCCTTGAACCATAGGCTCATGGGCTACTTTTCACTCTTGGACCTGGATGCCCTTCAGATCTCAGCCTTAGCTGGACACAGTGGCACACCTGGAGTCCCCTTTACTCAGGAGATCAGGGAAAGAGGATGACTGAAGCCAGCTTAGGTAATATAGTAAAACAAAATGACAATAGAATGACAGTCTTTCTCCAAGGAAGCCATCTTTGTGGGCAGGTTAGTGTTATGCGGTATTCACCAGTGAAGACTGCTCAGACATGAGTTTAAACCAATAGAAAGTATCAGCTGGCCAGTGACTAGTTTGAGTGTTAGGGATTCCAATGTACCCTGAGCCTTTTTCAGACTAGGCATTTATTTGTTTGTTTGTTTGTTTTTTATTTAATATACACTGGCGTTTTGCATGCATATGTCTGTGTGGGGAGGGGATTGGGACCTCCTGGAACTGGAATTATAGATGGCTGTGAGCTGCCATGTTCGGGAATTGAACTTAGATCTTCTTGAAGAGGAATCAATGCTCTTAACCTCTGAGCCATTTCTCCAGGCCTCAGGGTGAACTTTTATTTTAGCACAAAAACCATGTCCTGTTTCCCGGATGGATCAGGTCTTTGTTTTCATTTTTGGCAGGCAGTGCTAACTATATGCTGAGTTTCACAACCTGAGGGACACTTCCATTATGGAGTCAGTTGCGCTAAGGTCTGGGCCCTGTTACAATTAGGAGCTGCTAAGTTTGCTCGGGTGTCATGGCCAGTACAGCCATGGGCACAACAGATACCTGGAAAGGAGGGTAACAGGAGACACAGACATAAGACTCTGGGTTCACGTTAAAAGTGAACCATTTTGGCTAGGTGTGGTTTTGGTGAGGCATGGTAATGCACGCCTATATATAATCCCAGCGCTCATGGGAAGCAGAGGCAGGAGTATCCCTGAGTTTGAGGCCAGCCTGGTTTTCATAGCTAGTTCTGCTCAGCTAGTCGTATATAGTAAGAGCCTGCCTTAAAAAATACATATAAATATATTTTTTTCCATAGTACTTTTTGTGTAGTTTAGCTAGCCACTAGAATGTCATCACCAGCAGAGCTTGGGCCAACAGGCTCTCTGTTCTTCCATGTCCCTGCTGTCGCTGTGGCCTTACTTCACCCTGTAGGGGTGATGTTTCCTCGTAGACATCATCCAAGAGAGCAACTGCAAATCATCTGGGCCCAAACAGACTCTTCACGCCTGGCCTGTGCTCAGATGGCCCAGAGCGGCCCTGTTTGTGTGAGGACCCATCATGGTCAGAGCGGACCAAAAGCAACCTGTGGAGAAAAGGGTGATGGGTGAAAGCCTGAGGAACACTAGGCTGGCTGTCACTCAGGAAGATGAGTGGCCTTCAGAACACATCATTGTCTGTTGCCCCCAACAAACCTGGAGGAGGGAAAAGCGTCCCCACTTTCCAGATGGATCCCTCGAGACTTAGCCCACACAGGCCAAGGTGGTACCACGGCACAGGGCAGCTCCTGGCTGCTGCTACTACCCTTTCTATTCCCAGGACAGGAGACAGTCTCGGAATGCTGCTCTCAAAAACAAAAACAAAACTAACAATGCAGGAAAACAAAGCAAAACCACCTGGACTCTACGTCCTTAGTGGCTACCTCAGTCCGTGCCCACGTCTCTGCTCTGCTGTGCCCGCTGGGTCTTTTCCCCTTCCCTAGGGAATCTGCTTTAGTCCCGTTTGCCCTCAGCTAGTCTGGTTGGGTCTCTGCTTAGAGAACTCCGAAGGCCTCTCATCGTCCTCAGTGACAGCCAGCCTAGTAGACTATGAACTTCACCTGCTCCTCAGGCCTTCACCGGCCACTTCCCTGTCGCCTGTCCTCCGCTCCGGCTCACTCTCCTGTGGGTTACCTGGATTCAGCGGCCCTCCAACCCTCAGAGCCCGGCTCCTCCCCACACCCCGTGGATACACCTCTCTTCAAGATGTCCAGGTGGTCCTTGGCTTTCTGACTTGAGGGACAGAGAGAAGCAGCCCCCATTTCCAGAACACACTTGGCAGGGTGCAGTTGCCTTAGGAACCGCAACGCTTGGGGAAATCATTCCGACGGTGGAGGCAGGGCCCCTCCTGCTGGTGAGATCTGGTACTGCATGCCCTGCGCCGGTATAAGCTCGCTTCAGGGCGCACAGGCTGTTTGTCACCCATCACATGCCAGGGTTCTTTGGTCGTGGGGGTGTTCTAGAACATGTTTGTCCCCTACTTGGGAAAGACAGAGGCCGGAACTTACCCATTTCTAGGGTGTTATTTCAGCACCACTGGTCAGTCACACTGCCCAACTTGAAACCTCCCCCAGGAAGCTGTCCCCTGGTCTGGGTGAGGTGACACATGCACACCTTTTTCTGGAGTTTCCAAAATATCTGAGTAAGTCTTTTATACTTCTTTAACAACAAAAAACCACGGGGGCTGGAGAGATGGCTCAGAGGGGAAGAGCACTGCCACCTCTTCCAGAGGTCCTGAGTTCAATTCCTAGCAACCACATGGTGGCTCACAACCATCTAAAATGAGTTCCAGTCCCCTCTTCTGGTGTGCACAAGTGTATACCTAATATATAAATGAATCTAAAGCAAAAACAAAAAGAGAAACAATATTTGAGCTAGGTGGTGGTATTACATGCCTTTAATCTCAGCACTTGGGAGGCAGAGGAAAAAGCATCTATGAGTTTGAGGCCAACCAGGGCTACCCAGAGAAACCCTGCCTTAAAAAACAAAACAAAACAAATACTGAGACAGGGTGTTAATAGCTTCGAGGTGAGCTTCGAGGTGTCTGGAACGTATATAGACTAGGCTGGCCTTGAATTCTGTGGAAATCTGCCTCCCAAACTTGGCCTTAAATTTTTTACATATCTGTGCTTATGGGCACATGCCCAAATGCTCATAGCATTGTGTGCATTTCAAAGGACAACTGTTGCACTGGGTTTCAGGGATCAAACTCCTACCACCAGGCTTGGACAAGCGCCTTGCCCACTGAACCATCTCAAGGGGCCCCACTAGATGTCTTTAGAATACTTACTGCCCTTGCCCAAGCAGCCACGTAAAAGTCTGTACTGAGAATTTCACTTCCCCATGATGATCACAGACAAGCTTATCTCTGAGCTGATTCTCCTTGGGAAAGAAGGCAAAGCACAGTGAATGGCTGCCTCGGCGGATGACTTCTGCAAAAAGGTATCTTCATGAGGTGAACACTTACCTGGTACAGACTGGAGAAGCCAATCATGCCTGCTACGGTTTTACAGATCTACACTCTTTAGAAGGCTAATTCTCTTAACCCTGGGTTTTGTTGTTGAGGGCTTGTGTTGAGCAGGCTGGCCTGAACTGGTAACCAATGATGACTCTAAGCCCTCGGACCCTTCCTAGAAGCACAGTGAATGAGACTCCAGGACATACAGCCCTAAGTGTTGCCGCCACTCTGCAAAGGGCAGTAGGCACTCTTCAAGCCTGGACCTTGGGGTCTCAGCCTGGGGATCAGAATGTCTTATGAGAATTTTGCATTCTTAGGGGCTACTTTTATTTGTGTTAATTCACAGGAGGCAGAGCGGTGACTCCCAGGACAACAGTCATTTCCCTGACAAGTGTCCTCTGGCAACAAGACTCAAGACCGCACCCAAATGACAAAAGTTACATTTAATTTACAATGTAATAAAGGTTACAGGTAAAAAGCTACACTTAAAGCAGAAAAGGCCTATTACACAAATGTACAAATCTGTACAAAGCTCATACAATGGTTCCTACCTTGTCTCCTGTTAGCCAGGTCCTAGGGCTCTGAATAACCAGAACTCTCTGTGGGGGTTTCAGGGGAGCCTCCACACAACACCTGAGCATGTCCTCCTACCACAAACCTGGTCCTTGCAAAGTCTCCCTGTTCAATGGAACTGCCCGGCTGGTCATTCCACAAGAAACCGCCTCACGGCACACACAGAAGGCGTGCCACAGCAGGGAGGGCAGTACTTGAACTAAATGAGAACTAGGCAAGTGGAGTATCCAGTGTGGACAAGGAAAAGAGCTCAAGTCCAACAATATGGTAAAACCCATAAACCTGTGCCCATGACACTGGCCACAGACGAAGGGAACTCAAAATGGTCTCACTCCAGCAGAAAGGACAGAGGAGAACGGCCTAACTATTGGACCTCAAAACCAGGGAACCACTTAAGTTTACACCTTGGTTTAAATGAACAACGTCAAAGAGCCTGGAATCCATGGCAACAGCTTTGCTATCTGAGACTCACAAGGGAGGGAAGTGAATGCAAATGAGGCTCCCACCCTCCATAGCTCTGATTCCACCTGTGAGCCACTTCACATACAACAGAGGCGGCACAGGGAGAGCAGCAGGGCAGCCTTCTCAGGAGGACCCAGGAAGCCTTTCTCTGACGATTCAAGCGTTCTGACTCAGGTCTTTACTGGTACTTTAGGCCCACCCCTAGCCTCAGTATATGGTTAGGACCCCAGGAGACTTTCTGAAAGACGATACTGCACACATGGAAAGTTTTCTCCCTAGTTCATTAGCTCCCCTTGTCACCCCTCCACCCGCTCCCACCCATCCCCACCCTCTCCATAACCAAAATATCAAATCAGTAAGGAAGGTGTGGGCTTCTTGCCCGGCCAAGCCTCCTTCGCATATTTCTTCTTCTTGGGTTCATTTACAGCTTCAGGGTTATAGACTGCAGGGTTTGGTGTGGGGTTGATGGTCACTGCTGATGGCACAACAGGAGTCAAGTCCACGTCCGGGGCGAGGTTGGGATATGGCATGGGCAGGCCGCCGATGAGTGCTGTCCCGTGGATGCCGTGAGGCTGGGAGCCCGTCTCACTGTGTGTCGGGGGCAGGCCCCCGTAGAGTCCTCCACTGAAGGCAAAGTTCTGTATGCGCCTGCTCCCCGACTCCTCCAGGCCCAGGGAGCCGGAGCCCTCCATCCGCTTCTTCTGTGGTTTGCCATAGGGAGGGGAAAAACAAGAGAGATGAGGTGAGGCCCTAGTTTCTTTCCATTCTAGCCACAGAAAACCAACATTTGGGAGAAGTCCCACTGAGTAGCCCAGCCCATTTCAGAAATCTCAGGGTCTGATGCCATCTGAACAATGGTTCTTCTTTTGAGACAGAGTCTCTTATGTGGCTCTGGGTTATCCTGGAACTTATACTTGTACTAATATATTTAATGGCCTATATGCTAACAATACTGTAGACCAGGTTGGCCTCAAATCCTCACATGAACATTCTCACACACAGATACATACACATGCACATAACTAAAAAGAAAACAAAGAAGTGACCATTCTTTATTCACAGGGCAAACACCATCCTCTCTTAGACTGATGCCGAGTAGGAAATTAAAGTGGTAAGTGATGAGTCCAAGTTGGATGCCAGGTCCTTTGAAAACTGTTTTCTTTTTGCTTACCTCCCGAACAAAATTTCTCTGTGTAACAGCACTGGCTGCCCTGGAAGTCATTCTGTTGAACAGGCTGTCTCAGACTCCTAGAGACCCGCTTGCTCCTACCTCCTAGGCGCTGGGATTAAAGGCGTACACCACCATGCCCTGCTTTTGGAAACTTAGCTCAGCGTACTGCGGAGGCCACTCGCAGCACCATCTCATTGCTAATCGGTGCTGACCTCCAGCTGGGACGTCACCGCTGGTGACTTAGTCTGTGCCCAAAAAGTCACCATGTTCACTTAGTTAGCACCATGTGCTACAGCTGTGACTTCTGAACCAAAGCAATCTTCCTGTCTCAGCTTTCTAGCTAGCTGGAACAACGAGCAGGCATCACCACTATACCACCCCGCCCCCACCCCCTTGACAGGCTCTCTCTACATAGCTCTGGCTGCAGTGAAGCTCATTATGTAGACCAGGCTGGTCTTGAACTCACAGAGATCCACCTGTCTCTGCCTTCTAAAGGTGTGGGCCACTACATTTGCCTGGCCTTCGGTGTGTAATCTCTATCTATCTATCTATCTATCTATCTATCTATCTATCTATCTATTTATTATTTTGAAATTATTTTAATTTAGAAATAGAAAACCTCATGGGGAAGAGGAAAGGAAAGAAAAACACAAAGCACAGGCAGCTTTTTACTTCATGAGCTCATCACACTCTCATTAGTTTAGTAGTTCCCATGATGAGAAAGGACTCAGCCACCCACAATAATGTTATTAATAGGGATATGGATCAGTTTCACGAAGAAGCCAATGAATCCCATGATAGCAAATCCTATTGGTGTGGCCATGGCAATCTTCTGGAATTCTTTTCTGTCAGGTTTGGTGCATCTTTCAACCAGCCGAATTGAGTCCTTTACAAACTGCCGACTTGGCTCAACAAACTGCATTACCTGATCCATGATTGACGGACGGCGGTTTGAGAGAGAATAGACCCGGTGTGTAATTTTTAAACAACCCAGGAGTAATCAAATCTGTGTCAGGGATCTGTATCAGTAGTGCCTGAGCTGAGCAGATTAGCTTTGAAGAGTTGGGGAGTGCCTGGTCTGTCTCACTGGCGTGGTGGCTAAACACAGCCACCCAGATGCTAAAACTTAACTGATACACATAAAACCTGCATGTTTTATTATGCATGTACATATGATGACATGGTAAGGCTGACATGAACCTACCTGCTGATTTTGTATGTTAACAACAGAACATTACAGAAGAATGGACAGAAAGGAGCTCGGAAGGGAAGCGTCTGGATTGTGGAGTCCCGCAGAAAGTAAGCTCACTCTACTTTCTCAACCAAGCCACAGATATGAAAAGAGCCGGTCTGTATGGGACTCTTTCTTGTTGCACCCAGAAATTTATTTATTTTGTGTGCACACGTACTGGGTTTGAACTCAGGTCGCCAAGTTTGTCAAGATGCCCTTTCCCCACTAGACCATCTTGCCTGCCATTTCTGAGAAAGAGTAAATGCAGCCAAGCTGGTCTTGAATTAAAGTATGCAGTTGAGGATGACCTTGAACTCTGATCCCCCTGCCTCCATCTCCCAAGTATTGAGAGTATAGGCACCACCATGCTCTAGAGTTTTATTTTTATAAAAATATAAAAAATCCTAAAATTTTATTTTATTTTTTTAACTTAAAGATGAAGCTAGAACTCTAAAATACCTTGTCCTTTTACTTTAAGGTAAATGGGCTCCACATGTGTGGATTCAAAACATTATGAATGGAAGACAGCTGAATAAGGAAACATCTGTCCTGGGACTACATAGTTTTTTCTTTTCTTTCTTCTTATTACTTACACAAAAGGAGAATAACATGTTGATTTATTTCTGCACTGCTGGACTGAGCCCAGACACTCTAGGAGCTACACCCCAAGCCTAGCAACGCTTACAGAGACTTAACATGTGGTAAGCATTAAGAGTAATTTACTTGTATGCCCCTAATCCCAGAACCGGGGGAGGCAGAGGCAGGTGGGTCTCTCTGAATTCCAGGTCAGCCTGGTCTACAAAGTGAGTCTAGAACAGCCCAGGCTACACATAGAAACCCTGTCTCGAAGCCCAGGCTACACAGAGGACCTGTCTCAAAAAACAAAACAAAACAAAACAAAAAAACAAACTTAAGAGATACTAAAGTGTGAAGAAGAGCTGGGGACGGTAAACATGGAGGAGATTCTGTTTAGAGAACACAAGGCTCAGAGCGTGTCTGGGAGGATGAGCAGGTCAGAAGTGAGCATGGACTCGTGGAGCTGATTCGGGCGTCTGTGGATTCTGAAAGCTGGCTGTGAGTGTCTAGAACTCACTTCTTTTAGTATCAGAGGCAACTGCCTGCTAACGACTAAAAACAAACTCCCTCCAGCGCTGCTTAGCCTCTTGCAAGCACTCTGGGCACCCCGGAACAGGTGTCTAGCTGCTGTAAGGGGCAATGTGCATCCTTTGGACGGTTCTCTCCACCAGGAAGCTCAATATGCTGAGAATCAGGGCATCTTGCCAACTTCTACTTCTTTCCTAACACACCTGACCCTTAAACCCAACCTGAGAGCAAGGCAGGATCCTCAGTTTGTGCTACTCCTATGCATAAAGTAAGGGCATGAACAAGACAGACCTCAATAGTTAAGAGCACCTGTTGTTAAAGGACCCAGGTTCAGTTCCCAGCACCCACATGGCAGCTCATAACCACCTGTAAACTCCAGTTCTAAGGGCTCAGACCCCCTCTTCTGACATCTGACAGCACCAGGCACACACATCAAGCATACACATACATGCAGGGAAACACTCACACACATAAAACAAGTACATGAACCTTTAAAAACGTACATAACAATTTTTAAAAGGACACGGAAATGCCATATGCTAACGTTTCCATGTTTCCTTTCACCCTGAGCTGGGCCAGCAGAGAGGACAAGAGGAAGGTGGGCCTCTCTGCAGCCTCGGGGAAGATGACAGCACCCCAGAGCAAGTACTGAGTGTACTGCGTTCTGTCCGGCCACCTGAAGTCCTTCTGTGCTGCTCTAGGATTTCTGAGACACAGGTGCAACAGCAAGGGTATTCCCAGATAACAAGAAATGGCAGAGAAGGGCTGGAGAAATGCGCCAGCAGTTGAGGGCACCGGCTGTTCTTCCACAGGACCTGGGATCAGTTCCCAACACTGACACTCTCCAGTTCCTACATAGCAGCTCCAGGGAATCCAATGGCCCCTCAAGCCTCCCAGGGTACCAGGCCTGCACGTGGTGCACAACATACATGCAGTTAAAGCACTCGCACAGAAAAGGAAATTAAAAGAAAAATAAAGAATAAAAAGAAAAATAAATTAAAAAGAACTCTTTTTTAAAGGGAGAGAAACACAGAATATGTTGTAACATTATGCACTGATTGAAACTATCTACACATAACTGGATTTTTTTGTAGTGCCAAGGATCAAAGCCAGGACTCTGCTAATGAGTACATGCATTACAACTGAGTGGATTCCCGAGCCCAGGCTATCAGGCGCTGCAAACACTCTCAAAAGGTGCCTCCTACCTTGACTGGGACCACTGCCGTCTGCACCATGTTCCGGAAGCGACCAACAGAGGGATCCACGTCCTCTGTAAAAGGAGAACAATGTTGGGAGAACAGGGATGAAGCTGCACACCAAACAACCAACCAGCTTGTTCAAATGGGAAATACAGCTAATGCTGACATTTTCTGTGCTACGCCATCCCAACACCCCACGAGGCAGGGGCCGCTGCAAGTGGATTGGGCAGATGAGGAAGAGACCAAGTCTCAGAAGAGGGACAGCTCTGGGCCAGTCTATCTGCTGGAGGGGAGGAGCCAAGCAACCAGAGACAGGCCTGCGCTTTAGAGCACAGAGAAGAACTTGCCTTCCCAGGGTCTGTTTGTTTGTTTCCCCCATTTTCTTTTCTATTCCAGGCATTTCTGATGCCTGGCAGATAAAACAGCAAACACTATTATTTTAGTGATAAAAATAAATGACAAGTGGCCATAACCACATATATTGCTGTTCGTTCACCAGCAAGGCTAGATTTAGGACTCAGACCAGGGTCTGAGTCTCTCACTTGAGAGTCTGTCCAGCTCAGCAAAGGGGCTTCTTCTCATGATTTGCGACACACACCACTACCCTAGAGAGCACCTGGCTCCACTCTGCAAGGACAGATTGTCAAGGTAGATAGGGATCTACTTTCATCACCCTCTCCAGCCCCAAGCACTGGCTGTCAATGCAAAAGAGCATGATACCACTCTGCCTTTGAGGAATCCATAACAATGAGCCAAACAGGCTACAACACATCACAGCCCTTGGGATGCAGAGGCAGGCAGAGCTCTGAGTTCAAGGCTGGCCTACATGCATATTTGTATATAAGTGTGAGTATGTGCAAGTGTGAGTGCAAGTGTCCAGAGTCCGTAAGACAATGTCAGATCCCCTAGAGCTGAAGTTACAGCTGGGTTTGGGCTGCTAGGAAAGGAACGTGGGTCCTCTGCAAGAGCTTAACTACTGAGCCATCTCTCTAGGCCCCACGTCAGAGTTGTTAAATATTCTCCAAGCAGAGGTGACTGCACTACTCCACACTGAATATTAAGAGTCACAACACCAAAGACTGAGTGACAGCAATCATTAGCTTAGTGTCACAGCCAAGTAGCTGCTTCCCTAAAAGATGTGATACATTATTGCTCTGTTGTTTGTTTGAGACAGAGTCATGCTTTATAGCTCTTAGCTGGCCTAGAACTTGCTATATGGACCATCTGTAAGTACAGTTCCAGGGGGCCTGTCTCCCTTTTCTGGCCCCTGCAGGCATACATGTGGTATAGACACATGCTGGTAAAATAATCATACACATTAAATTAGGATAAAGAAATTTATCCGAATTCAAGTTATTAAGAGCATGTGCTGCTCTCGCAGAGGACATGGGTTCAGTTCCCAGCACCCACATCAGGCAGCTCACAACCACCTGTAACTCAGATCCAGGAGATCCAATGACCTCTTCTGGCCTCGGCAGGTACCTGCACATCATGCACATGCAGCATAAATGCATTTTACATGTGTACACACACTTAAAAGCCATTGTGGTATATGAGCTGGATAGCCTAGCTACTCAGCTTCTAGGCTAGTGAAGGGCCTTGTCTCAAAAACAAACTCCTTGGGGCTGCAGAGATGGCTCAATAGGCAGTTCATCATGTTCACTGTTCCTGCAGAGGTTCAGTTCCAGGCCTCCATGGCTGCTACATGTGTATACACGCACCATGCAGGGTGTATATATTCAAAACAAACACACCCCTGCTTCAGTGTCCTCAGGGCTGGGATTACGGCAGCACACTTGATTGGTTTCTATATACCCCGAAGACCCAGGCTGTCTTAAATTAAGTAAAATCCCCCACGTCACTGATCCTTCCCAGCCCCTCCCTCTGTGGGCCGTCAGTAGAGCAGATCTCTCATTTAAATAACTGGTATTGAGACACGAACGTAGCACTTCAAAGTTGCAGCATCTGTCCACCCTGAGCACGGCTGCCACTCTGCATCACCCATCGATCAGAACACTTGAAATGTATCGTGAGCTCACATATGAGCACAGTGACCCAACAAACTAGCCCCAACGACCTGGGGGCTGTACCTGCCCCTGAGACCGTAACCTTCCATCAAGAGACATAGGGCGACCTCTCACCTGGGTTGATGATCTCATCATCGTCACTGAAAGTCACCCGGGAGTTCTTCCTCTTCCTCTTTGGTCTCTGAATGTCCAGATTTCCCTCCTCAATTGTAAGGGTTGAAATCCGCTTGTTGTGGGCAGTGTTGAACTCTGTCAGGTTCTAGACCAAAGTTCACACAGTAAAGATGAAAATTAGTACATAGGGAGTTTCATGGAGAAAATACTAAACAAAGGACAAAAGGGCGTTTGGAGCTACGCTGACCTCCCAAGGCCAGCGAGACGGCCTTCTGCATTCAGAGGACTCATAATGTCCTAATTAGTCTATTGATAGAGAGAACGTGTAACTCCTCACTGACTATGGGAGTGCTGTGTGAAAGGACGTGAAGGCTGTGAGAACAGGGCACCCTTGAAATGACGGTGTGTTATTTACTTTCTGGTCTCGAAGGAACGCTCTCTCACAACTCCATGCCAAGAATGAAAGAAAACTTAACAAGGAAGAACAATAACATTTATTTTAAAGTAAAACAGATGAAAAAGACAATTGAATGCTTCTCAATAGCTGGTATGTCTGTGTGTGGGTGTATGTATGTGTGATGTGTGTTGGGGGGGGGCAAAGACAGACAAGATCTACACAAATTAGAATGGTTTCAAATTTATAGCACTCCTCCTGCTTCAACTTCTGCAATCACAACAATAAGCCAGCACACCGACTTTCTCCTTTAGAATTCTTAAGGACCCTGGCAGTGCACTTAATCTTTGGCATTAATATTTTGCTAGAGTCTCCCTCCTGCATCAGGCCCCAGTTCCATTCACATCACCATCAATTTTATGATTAATTTGGCCTTAGCGCTGCTTTCTGCTTCTTTCCAATTCCACTGGACTTGTTCCAACCTGCACTGCAGCTTGAGATATTCCAAAACCCAGACAAGACCTAACACACTGAACTGAAACACAGGAAAGCACAATGGCCTGGAGGGAGAATGACAAGAGTGACAACCAGCAAGGCCCATAGATGTGAGGCTACCCTTGAGAAAATGACTTATACATTGTTAATTCCTGTTGTTTTTCTTCCTGAAGCTTGGGAAGCTGCTGCTGTGTATAGGAACAGTAAAGGCAAAGGGCTGGTTAAGAACATACTTGCAAGGGGGGCGCAGTGACGTATACCTGTAATCCCAGACCTATGGGAGGCAGAGGCAGGTGGATCTTTGTGAGTTCGAGTCTAGCCTGGTCTTCAAAGTGAGTCCAGAACAGACAAGGTTATACACAGAGAAACCCGTCTCGAAAAAAGAAATAAAACAAAAAAACCTCACTTGCATTTTGTCTACATGAATAGACATACCACACCATCACAATTGTTTGTTTGTTTGTCTTAAATTTGTAAAATGTATGACCATGTAGGCATCCATATCTATAAGAAAAAAAGTAGCCTAGTTTTTTATGTATTTTAGTCTTCATTTCTACTTTAAGTATGTGGATGTTTTACCTGCATGCATGTCTGTGGCATGTGCGTGCCCACAACTCTGTAACTGGAGTGACAGAAATGTTGTGAGCCACCAAGTGTGTGCTGGGAAATGCCCAGCGTCCTCTGCAACAGCAGCCTGCTAACCACTAGGTTGTCTCTCCAGACCAAAAGCAGCCTAGTTCTCCAGATTCCTGGGTTGTCCGGTCAGTATCACAGAGGCTAAATGGATGAAATGTTGCTTGCGAAGCTAGAGTCAGTCAACAGAACTTTCTGTGATGATAGAAATTATAGTCTGCCATGGGTATCCAAGGTGTGTGTCTGTACACATTCAAGGACTGTGCTCGGATACCAAAATTATGCAGATCCTTAGGTGCCTAGGCAGTCTCCCACAGACAACCCTAGAACCTACCTAATGAGAACATCTAACACCCACTCCAATGTGAATGTTGTATGAAGTTATACTGTTTAGAGACTCTCCCGACACAGCTAACTAGATTCTCCACGTTATCCACCAGAAGACATGAAATGTCGTTAGTGACTCCTGCACTGGACCAAAAGGCAAATAAAGTCCCAAGAATAGAGAAAACAGGGGCTGCACAGATGGCTCAGCAGTTATGAGCACTGGCTGCTCTTCCAGAGGACCTGTGTGTGATTCCCAGAGCCACATGGTAGCTCCTAACTGTAACTACAGTTTCAGGGGATCAATGCCATATTCTGACTGGCACATACATATATGCAGGCAAAACATTCAAGTACATAAAACCCAAAAACTAAAGCAGGAAAACACCTCCATAGCCAGTGAAGCAGCACACCACCCCTGGAGGAACAAGAGTGGGAAGCCTGTCCCAGCTGGCCATATGTATTGTCCAGGGCTCACCACTAGACTCAAGAGTCTCCTGCTACTACAGTACTGTAATTTCTTTTCTTTTATGTATACAAGTGCTCTGTTTTCATGCACAGAAGAAGAGGGCATCAGATCTCATTATAGATGGTTATGAGCCACCATGATGTTGCTGGGAACTGAACTCAGGTCCTCTGGAAGAGCAGCCAGTGCGCCTAACCACTGAACCCTCTCTCCAGCCCACAGTATTGTAATTTCAAACTAGGAAGAACAGCTACACACTGCAACAAGGGTCCCGACAGACAAAAATGATAGGAAATTACATCAAGTTCGGTCTCCTCTTCTGGAAGTCCCAACAAGCCCTTGAGTTCATCATCCTCTCCACTCATCTTCTCATCTCCTTTCACAGCCGATGGCAATGTCTGAGGCTTCTCTCGCAGAGTGTATGCCCTTGTGGATGCACCAAACGAGACCGTGGAGTCAATGGGAATCTGCTGAGGCTTGTGAGGTTCCAACCGAATGTGACCCAAGAAAGTGCCATGTGCTGGGAAGAACCAAATCAGAACAGTGAGGAAAGAAATCAAAAGCCGCAAGTGCTCTCCGAAGGGAAAGCACCGCCGCTGGCTCTGAGGACATCAGCTCCCAGAGCACAGCAAGTTTGTTTTCTGATGGTTAGATCTAAATGATAATGGCATACTCAGAATATCCACAAATAAGCTTTCTTGTTTTGTTTTTTATAGTACAAGGTCAAACCTAGGGTTTTGCCCACCCTAGGCAAAGACTCTACCATTGAGCTACAACCTCAGCCCTTGGTTTCTGAGACAGGGTCTCACTATGTAGCTGGCTTTCAACTTACTATGTAGGCAGTTTGGACTCAGACAAACTATGTCAACCAGACTGACTCTGAACTCCCGATTCTCCCGCCTCATCCTCCCAAGTGCTGGAAATACAGACATGTGCCACTATGTCTGTAGAAAAAAAAAACAAAAAAAACAAAAAAAACTTTTAACGATGAACATGTCACTGGGTCCACTTCATCCTGTCTTGTATTAAAGCAAGGAAGCTTTGAATTTCTTCAGTTGCTCTCTCACACACCTTCACATCTGCTGATCTCACATGAAAACCACTGCCTGTTCTCTGCTGCCAGAAAGGCTTGGCTCCATTCTGGGTCCAGCAGGAATGGCTCCAACCTAGCAGATCCAGCTCTCCAAGGTCCGAGGCAAACTTCGGTGTGGCCAACCCTCTCTAGCTCCAACTCTAAGGATCATGAAACTGCTGGTCTGCTGGCTGTTTTAGCTTTAGCTTTTCCCCAGGACAGGAGACCAGATTGGCCAACACAGATGCAATGTCAATGCAAGGCAAGCCAAAATTCTACGAGAGATTCTGAAATTTTCCATGTCAGCATTCTGCATGTTATGAAATGAAGAAGAAAAAAAAGATGAAATAAGTATATCTGTAAGACAAGGCAGACGGAGTCCTTATGCAAACAGACTGGGAGGCGTGTGTCTGTGTGTGCTAGGTTGATTGGGAGGATCAAGCATGGATATAGATCTGCCTGCCTCTGTCTCCCATGTGCTGGGATTAAAGACGTGTGCCACCACTGCCTAGCAGAAGACTGTGTGTGTATATATATATTTCCTCTATTTATCATGGGAAAAAAATAAACTTAGGCAGTCCACACAGTCCAGTCTCAGCTGCATTTTTGAAGACTATTTCAAGCAAAGTTTAAAATCTTAATACTCTCAGTGTATTTGTGAAGCTAAAATTGTTGTAATTCAGTTAAAGCAAAGTATATCAGGGATAAGGAACTTACTGTAAATAATGAATGCTCAAAATCCTGTATTACTGCATACCAATGATGCTAGTCACAATTTCAACATAAACTGAGTCACATTTAACCAGGGTCTTATGAACACCAGTACTCTGGGTTCCTATATGCCATTTTTATTCTCTCTCTATGCAACCCCAAAGAATGTGTTCTCCTTGGTCAATTATTTCAGGAAAATAACAGAATCTCAGAAATAAAGAAGAGCTGATTTAAAAGTTTCCCAAAGCAAGAGCCCAAACACCAGACAGCATTTCTGTCTCCCCCCCCACAACCCACCACCTGGAGCAAAAAATGGGAGGCAGGCACTTACTGCTGTTGAGATCTATCAAGAAAACTCTCTTCAGGTGCTTGTGGTAAACCAGTGCCGCGTGGACTCGAGAGCAAGACTGGTGGTCGATGGTAAAGTCACACAGATCAGGGTTCCTCCCGAATAAGTAATACTTCTTCTCATCAATAATCAGCTTCTAAATATGAAATTAAATATTACTTCACTTTTACTGCAAGCAAGCTTAGCAAAAACTTCCAATCATGTAAGTAGAGGATCTTGAGTAGGTAAAATGCTTGGTATCTCCCATTGTTCTGTGAAGTTCTAGGGTCTGGTAAGATCAGTGCAAGGGCTTTCCGCAGCAGCTGCCCCAGTCAAGCTCCTGACCATGGTAAGATCCACACTGGGAACAGCTTTCACATGGGATGCTCACTGGCTCCTAAGCAGCCAGCATACACTCTTCTCAAGTCCAGTTAAAGATAAAAGCGTACTGGGCCATTAGTTCACCCCTGGCTCCCAGAGGACATTATTCACTACTGAAATGCTGAAAGACAGACCTCTCCCCCAGGACAATTGCCTCATCCAACTTCAGCAAGAATGTCTTCGGGGTAGGACTGTCAGCTGAAGAACTGGGATCTGGACTACCGAGCAGGAAAAAAAAAATGTCTTGCATTTCTAGGTACTCCTTTCAAGTGAGTAGCACAAACTTACTCTAAGAATGCTCTTTGTACAGGCCTGCTTCTATGTATCCAGAGCAGTTTGCTAAGCTAACACTTTTTGATGGAGAATTACATTTTATCTATCCAAACACAATCTTCTACCAGCATTGTGTAGTGCTGGTAAAGATGCATGCCTTTAAGCCCAGTACTCAGGAAGACAGAGGCAGGCACATCACTGTGGGTGTGAGGCCAACCTGGTCTACAAAGTGAGTCCAGGACAACCAAGGCTACACAGAGAAGCTCTGTCTTGAAAAACCAAAACCAAACCAAACCAAATCCCAAAGTGTTCTTAGTTCTATCAGCTGTCAAGTAGCCTCTCCTTGTGAGATAAGAATTCTTGTACCCTTTTTCTTTTAATGTAACTTTGGTTGTCCTGGAACTCTATAGACTAGGCTAGCCTCCAATTCAGAGATCTATTTGCCATTGCTCCTAAGTGCTAGGATTAAAGGGGTGGGCCACCATTACTTGATGAAATAAGAATTCTATCAAGGGCCGGAGTGATAGGTAAATACCTTTAATTCCAGCACTCAGGAGGCAGAGGCAATGGACAGCTCAGACTTGGAGGCCAGCCTGGTCTATATAGTGAGTTCCAGTATAGTAAAGGCTATATAGTAAGAGCCTTTCTCAAAGAAAGAGGGCTAGAGAGATGGCACAGAGACTAAGAGCACTGGCTGATTTTACAGAGGACTCAAGTTACAATCCTTAAAACCCACATGAAGGTTCATAACTGTCTCTAACTCCAGTTTGCACCTAGAAGATGCGACTTTTGGCCTCCACATATATCAGACATGCACACAGTACACGTAAATGTAGGCCAAACACTTGTACAAATGGAAAAAAGACTAAAAAAGACCATTTGATTAGCAAATGAGCAGGAAGGGCAGAAAAAGAAAGCACACATTCTTTGAGCTGAATTATGTTCTATAAAAAGCTCAACTCTTGTCGTAGACGGTTATAAACTACAGTTATAGGTAAGGGACACTGAGGAAATTATTTTGCCAATTCTAGCCCAACACTAGAGATGTAGTAGTCTAGTGTGAGCCCCTGATGACCTTCATTTAATATGCTGTTTTTTTTTTTTTTTTCCCTTTAAACACAAGGTCTCAGCCGTGCACAGTGATGCCTGTAATCCCAGCACTCAGGGAGGCAGAGGCAGGCCAATCTTTGAGTTCAAGGCCAGCATGATCTATAAAGTGAGTCTAGGAGAAGCCAAGGCTACACAGAGAAACCCAGTTTTGAAAAACAAAACAAAACTAACACAGGGTCTCATTAAGCTCTTGCTCACATTCCACTCTATATTCCTAAAATCCCTAAGAAGCCAGGAATGTTGGCACTATTATCTTAGAAGTTTAAGGCAGGCATGGCGATGCGAACCTTTAATCCCTGGCTGGTGGATCCCTGAGTTTGAGGCCAGCCTGGTTAACAGAGCAAGTTCCAGAACAGCCAAGACTACACAGAGAAACCCCGCCTTGACTAAAACAAAACAAACAAAAAAAGAACTTCAGACGTTAAGGCAAGATGGTTCCAAGTTGGGGCTGGAGAGATGGCTCAGAGGTTAAGAGCACTGGCTGCTCTTCCAGAAGTGCCGAGTTCAGTTCCCAGAAACCACATGGTGGCTCACAACCATCTATAGTGAGATCTGGTGCCCTCTTCTGGTGTGCAGGTCTACATGCAGGCAGAACACTGTGTACATAATAAATAAATTTTAAAAAGCTGGCTCAAGGCTAGCCTGGGTTAGGCTTGGCAATACGTAAAATGAAGTTAGTGTAAGGCTAGAAATCCAGAGTTTATTTTGTACCTCAGGGAGGAGACTCATCACCAGGACATGTGCATCAGTGCCCACATCTCACCAGGAGAACTTCTGGCCCTGTCAGCAGCCGCAGCTGCCTGCACCTACCTGCAACACAGTGGCCGCCAGTTTTATATTGTATCTATCACTGGCAAGGACAATCTCCCAGAACTGACATCCTTTCCATTCTTAGAGATGCATACTAAAACATACCACTCTCACTGCAGTAATTTTTTAAAGTAAAATGATTTTAAAAAATTCAAATTTATTTGATTTTACAGTTTAAATATTTTTTCTTTCCTTTTTAAAAAACAAGATTCCATAGCTGGGCACAATGGTGCAAGCCTGTGATCCCAGCACTCAAGGAGGCAGATCTCTATGATTTTGAGGCCAGCCTGGTCTACAAAGCGAGTCCAGGACAGCCAAGGCTACACAGAGAAACCCTGTCTTGAAAACCAAAATCAAAACAACCCCCCAAAAAAACACAACCAAAAAAAAAAAAAAAAAAAAAAAAAAAAAGATTCTATTTATTCCAGGCTAGCCTCAAACTTTATATATATGACCTTGAACTTCTGATCCTTCTGCCTCACCTCCTATGTGCTGACGATTACATGTATGTACTACAAAGCCTAGTTAAATTAGAGCATTTAAGAATGCCGGGCAGTGTTGAATGCCTTTAATGATAGGCAGAGGCAGGCAGATCTGTGAGTTGAAGGCTACAGAGGTCTACAAAGTAAATACCAGGTCACAGCCACATAGTGGGACCCAGTCTCAAAAAAAAAAAAAAAAAAAAAAAAAAAAAAAAAAAGGAAAAGGAAAAGTTTATTTTCATTTTAAGTGCTTCTGTGCAATTATGTTATTTGAGTAGGTACCTGTGGAGACCAGAAGATGGCGTCTGATCCCCTGATGGAGTTATCGATTGTTGAAAGCTGCCCAACCTGGGTACCAGGACTGAACTCAGGTTCTCTGGAAGGGCAGGATGGGCTCTCAACTGCTGGCCCATCTCTCTAGACCTTCCCAGTTTGAGCATTTTTAGCCTCTACAATATAATTTCCTTAATCCACTATTACTAAAAGGCAAGCCACCTGAGGCTAAATATTTTTAGTCAATATGTATGTACCATGGGGTCACAGTCTTAAAGAACCCAGCCCTCTCCTCCCGTTAAGCGCTTACACAGCTTCTGCCGAGCTTCTTTGTAAGAGCCAGTCACTTCAGGCAGCCTGGTGTGCGCATCGTCTCTGTGAACCCTATCCAGCCATGCCCACCTGCCATGCTACAGCTCATTTCAGGGCCATGCTACTGTGGAGACCTAGATTTAAAATGGCCTGACAGCCAACCAGTCGTGTTATGTTTAAAGCATGGATTAAGGTAGGCTATGGCTGTGCACACTTGTACTGCTAGCATTCAGGAAGCAGAGGCAGGAGGATCACAATAGACTGAAGGCCAGTCTGGTCTACACAGTGAATTTCAGGTCAGCCAAAGGGTAGTTTCTGGGACCTTGTCTTAAAAAACAAACCTCCCCGACCTCCAAATACCAAAACCAGAACAGAAATAGATTCATATTACTAATAAAACATTGGAAGCCTGGTATAGTAGCTGCTGCCTGTAATACCAGCACTTTGGAGGCCAAGACAGGGGGATCACTGCACATTCAAGCTCTGCCTCTGCCTGGGCTACATATTAAGTTCCAGAACAGGCTAAAGACCCTACCTCAAAACAGTGATTGGGGAATGCACTCAGCACTTAGAAGGCCGAGACAGAGCTCTGTGAGTGTGAGGTTAGCCTGGTCTATAAACAGTGAATTACAGGCCAGTCAGGGCTACATGATGAGGCCTTGTCTCGAAAACCAAAATGCCCAGTTGTTAAAAGCCAACATTACTTTAGGATTAGCAGAGAGGTCTGCAACATTAACCATGTCTTCTAAGGCAGCATGTACACAGGTTGATCTCAATGCATTTTCCACTCATATTTTCATTTATAAAGATAAAAGTTCCTCAGTGCTCATGGTGGGTCACAAGCAATGATTCTAGAGTGCAGAAGACATAACAGATTAAAAAAAAAGAAAAAGAGGGAGGATTCTCATACTATAGGCACACATTCACTGTCAACAGCATCCCAACCACCGAATATTAAAAGGAATTTTAATGGAAAGTCATACCTCTTAGAATTAAGGAAGTACATTAAAAGTGAACAAATCATGCACTATTCTTTCTGGTTACTAAAGCTGTGATTTTTGGCTACCTACAACTGATCACTATCCAGATGTGCCTCTGAGTTATAACTCAGGGTGTATCTTTACACACTGGGCCTAAAAGACTCATGGCTTTTACGTTAATATCGCACTTCTTCAACCCAACTATCACAACATATCACAAGCCTTTGAAAAAGACGAGGATATAGATAGCTCGGTTAGTATCAAGTGCTGGTCAAATCTAAGTCCTTAAAACAAATACACCTAGGCTACTGGCTGGAGCCGAGCAGTACGACACTTGCCTAGCAGCAGGAGACACTTGTCTGATTGCTAGCAAGGCAAGGTAAAGACACACATACAAGGACACACATCTCAGACGTATTTCTTTAAGAGCCATATAGTGATATCTAAGGACTATTAACTTTGACGATGGTATGCAACTCAGCACACTGGAAGATAAAAACGTCACCAGCAGAGGGAGAGCAGCAGGCAGAGAGTGCTGAACGAGGTAAAGGGACGCCGAGAATGAACGTCTTCCACAAAGGAATGTATGCTATCACTGGGCCTCTTTGCCTGTTTATTCTTGTTGCAAAAAAAGATTTACTAAGTTCTAATAACAAATTAGACTTTGTCTTTTAATTTATTATTATTTCTCTGTGAGTCTATATTGGACACAAAAAATTGTAGATGGTTCTTTTCTTCCATGTTTACATGAGTTCCAGGGATACAATTTAAGTAGTCAGGCTTGTATAGCAAGTTACATGTTGAGACATCTCGCCAGCCCACAAAATAAAATTTCTGTAAGTCTTCAAATTTCACACTATTCTGTGTAGCAACAATTTTTCCCCCTATGTACAGAACTACCAGAAGTAAAAGAGGTTTTTCAGGTATTTTTAATTATTTCCTTGAACAACCATTTGAGGTTTTTTGTTGTTGTTGTTGTTGTTGTTTGTGTTTTGTTTTGTTTTGGTTTTTTTTTTTGGTCTTGTTTTTCATAAAGGAACTCATGACAAAGGGGCTGTATAAGACTGGCCAATTCCCTTGCCATCACCCCAAAACAACCCCTCACTTTTCAAGCTAACATCTGCAAAATGTCATGTTTTTTTTTATTATATACACCAAGAAGAAAATAATTACACTCACTAATAAAGCTTTGAACTGAATCTTTCTTTCTCTTTCTTGTTTTTTTCGATGAGACAGGGTTTCTCTGCGCAACAACCCTGGCTGGCCTCAAACTCAGAGTTCTAACTGGCCCTGCCTCCCAAGTGATGGGATTAAATGTGTGTGCCATCACCACCCTAATTTCTAACTATGAAGCCAGTGAGCTTATTCTCTAGTTCTTAGTAAATAACTATATATCTTAGCATCAATAATCCAGATATGGTGACTCAGATAATCCCAGCACTTGGGAGACCAGGTTAGGACTACCATGAGTCAGAAATCAGCCAGGGCTATATAGTGAGTTCCAGGCCACAGCAGAACTCTATCTCAAATATAAAAGAAATCCTGGCCCTTGGGAGGCAGAGGCAGGTGGACGTCTGCGAGGTCCAGGCCAACCAAGGCTTTAAAATGAGACCCAGTTGAACAAAACCCTAACATAATCTAACAGCTAGTCATTGTACTCTAAAATCTGACGTGACTCTAGAAACTCCGAGGCTGTAATTCCACTAAATTTTCCTTTTTAATACTTAACTGTAATTATATTTTTTTGTGTGTGATTCTGTTTGTCTGTCTGTTTGTTTTTCAGCTAGGGCCCGAACATGTAAACAGCCCTTACAGCCTCCAATCTGTTGCCTGACTCCAAAGTGCTAGGATGAAAAGTATGTGGCACCATATCTGGCCTCTCCCTTAGTTTTAAATGAATGAACTCTAGTTGTATTTCATTTTCTTTTTTGGCAAGTGCCCTACCTAACCATACTATTGAAGGAACTAATCCTGCATCTCATAGAAGCAGCTTAAAAGCTACACTCAATCTATCTCATAAATGTCTTTAGTCGTTATAAACTATGCATTCCACAAACTCCAAATTAGTGGATTTCTAGTTTATCCGGGCCCCTGAGGCTCATGACCTGTTAAAAATATCTTCATTTAAGTCCAACATTGTGGCACACACCTTTAGCTCCAGCCCTCGGGAGGCAGAGGTAGGTGGATCTCTGTGAATTTGAGGCCAGCCTGATCTACACAGAGTTTCAGGATAGCCCAGAGCTGTTACATACAGAAATCCTGCCTTGAAGAACAACAAAATTAAAAAAAATTAAAACAAAACAAAACAAAACAACTTCATTTGAGAGTAATAACGAAAAACAGAGTATCTGTGGTAGAAACGTGTTCAGTGCTAGAGACTGAATCAACAAACAAACAGAATCAAGAACAAGCTGGGTGCAGTGGTTAACACCTTTGATCCAGCACTGGGAGGCAGAGACAGGGAGGTCTCTGTGAGTTCAAGGCCAGCCTGGTCTACATAGTGAATTCTGGGACAGCCAAGACTGACCCTATCTTAAAGAAATAAAAACAAAAAAGAAAAGTAATAGTCCTGAAAACAAAGCTAAGGAGAGGGGGTGGAAAAGTGAGTCACTTGCAATTTCAATACCTCAATTAGTTTGTCTCCTTTCACTACATCCAGATGTAAGCCAGGTGGAGGTTTACCTGCCCTGAAAAAGAAGAGTGAAAAAAGCATTTTTAGATTTTTAGAATGAGTCCATAAACGTTCCTTACAATCTCTGTCCCATTCAACATTAAGGCTCTCCTACCAGCCTATAATTAGTTCATGTTCAAAATGAAATGTCATGCTTTTCACTTAGATCTTCTTTCCCCGATCAACACTTTCTTCCCAAGTGATTCAATTATTCCAGAGGGGATTTTTTTTGTGGATCTGTATTTAGAGCAGGGGAAAAAAAAAAAAAAAAAAAAAAGCAAGCCTGCATTTTAACATTGGCTATGCACTTCAGAGAAAAAACAGCTCAGTGTATAAGTATGTCTTGTCAACCTGAAGAGGATTTTTCTTCTTGCTTGTTTTTTGAGACAGGGTCTCATGTATCTCAGGCTAGGCTCAAACCTTAGGGGTTTGAATCTGAGGGTGACCTTGACTATCTGAACCTCCTACCTCCATCTTCCCTGTGCTGAATTATACTGTGGTGTGTACAACCATGCCTGATCTAACCTGGGGTTTTAATATAAGATTTACTACTCCTGATGTAACATAAACACAGAATGAAACAGTTGTTTTGCTGGGTACAGAAGTACACATGTGAATTTTCACCAGAAGGATCACTGCCAAGTTCCAGGCCATCTAGTTTTTATTGCAAGTTCTAGAACAGCCAGAATTACACATGGACACAAATACACAAATGTTAACACAAACAAACAACAATAAAAATAGTTGTTTGGGGACTGATTAATATTACTCTCATCACAAAATAAGCAGAAACTATTACCCAGATGAACTCTTCTTTTGTGCGTGTTAATTTAATCATACAAATGTTCATTTACATGGTAAGGAAAACCTCATCTTTTCTTAGGCCCCACCAGACACCCACCACTGTCCAGATGAGAGGGGCAGCAGGCTGTCCCCCCCCCCCCCGATGAACTTTTGATACCAAACCAGAGATTCATAACTAGGGAACCATCGCAAATCAAAATCATGTCCACAAAACCCAGTTTCAAACATACAGGTGTGGTGGTACCCTGCAGAGATATAATTAATCAAACTTTTCTCTGTACTTTGCTTTATCAATCAAGGGGGATGTGTGCATGTCAAGTCATCTGTCAACAAGTCTTGGTATAGACCAGATTTTGAGGTAATAGCAGGTGATCTCAAAGAGTCTCTATTTGGCTGGCCCAAATTTGAAATAAGTGCAGCCAGGGAGCAGTGTGGATAAAGAATTTGTAGGCTGAAGCAAATGGATATGTTAAATCCAGAAAATAGCCAAACATTCATTTGCTTCCTAGGCTTGCTTGTTTGAACCTCCCAGGACCCTTACATTTGCACAAAAGAAACATATCCTGTCTATCTAATTGAAGATTCAACACAACCATCTCACAGTTCTGCTCCAATCTTTTATGGCAGTAGGTAAAAGGACAATGAACTGGATAAAAGCCCATTTGTTCCAGAAACAGGTTAAAATGAACATTAAAGCCAAATATATTTTCTGAATATCCTCTCGTGTGCCGGACGAGGGCCTAGGAGCTGAGAATGATGCAAGGGTTTTTGCCCTTGAAGATCTCAATGTAACAGAAGACTGAGAAGTAACATGTTAACCACCATGAAGAGACACAACAGCAGAAAGGGCTCTAACTCGAATGAATGCCCGTGCAAAGCAGCTCGCATTTATTCGTTTCGTACCCCACTCAAAGCCTAAATCATCCTACTACTCCTATGAACTTCCCAAGGGATGAAAATGATGTATTCTAATAACTTCTGCTATCTTTTGTACAGGGCTTCGCGCTGGTCTGGTCACCGAGAACAAGGGGGATGGTTCCGCGCCATCCCTGCCCTCAGGAAGCTCCCAGTCCGCGGGGGACGGGTAAGCACTGGAGGATGCAGCAGTCACGGAGGGATGCAGCATCAGGTTGGGCTGGGGTAGGGAAGCTAGCTCGTGCGCGCTCGGGACGTTCAACACCGGGGCCAGGTTACGATGCTCCCATTGAAGAGTTGGGGCAAGTTAGGGGCCAAGGCCTGAAGCACCCTGGCGAGCGGCTGACCTCCCCAGAGCTGTCTAAAGTGAACGCCTTCGAGCCCCCAAACCTCGGGTTTCCTGAGAGCCTGGGCCCCGGCTCCAGGCTCCTCCACACGTCGTCCGGCCCCTCACAGCGGACAGTTTTCCCTCAATCATTCCAGGATCTTTTAAAGCCGTCCATTTCATCGCAAAAAAAAAAAAAAAAAAGAAGGAAGGCGGGGGGAAGCGGCCTCCCCTCCTCCCCTGGCTAGCTCACACCAGGCCGCTCCAGCCCCAGCAGCCTCGCTACTCACCAGGTCGGGCAGTCGAACAGCGGGAGGCTGGAGCCGGAGTTCGCGGCTGCCGCCATCTTGCGTCTCCCCCTCCCATTTGGCGGGCCTGAAGCACGCCGGGAAACTGGGAGGTCGGGAGGGAAGAGGCGGCATCCCGGCAGCCTGTGCGCACGAGCGCGCGTGCGCACGCGTAGCGCAAGCGCGCTAGCCTGGGAGCGCCTCTGGTGGAGGGAGGGGCCTAGGGGTTCAGTCTGCAGGGTTTAGGTTGTTTGCTGGGTTCTTTTTGGTTGCCGGGTCAGAAGCAGTGTGTACCGAGGTGTCAGTTTTCCCGCCCGAGTCTCCTCTAAAAGCTCTTGAACTCTGTAATCTGCATTAACTCCCAGCACTCCAGCCTTTCGCGCTTCATCTAGCGATAAGCAAGTGATCGCTCATTCCTTATTTCTTCCAGCCCTTCCCTGGAAAGCTGCATCCGAAAGCAGCATTCTTTCCCAATTGTCCTTTCTTTTCTCTTTCTTTCGTTTTTTTTTCCAGATAGGGTTTCTCTGTGTATCAAGCCCCGGCTGTCCTGCACTTGCTTTGTAGACCAGGCTGGCCCCGAACTCACAGAGGTCCGCCTGCCTCTGCCTCTCCGAGTACTAGAATTAAAGGCATGTTCCACCACATACAGCTCAATGATAGATAGTGAGTGCGCTCAGCATGCACGAGTGAGGTCCATGAACCAGTAATTTTCTGAGGCTTGAGGGCTTCTATCGATTAGGAAGGAGTGTGTGTGTCAAAAATCATGTAGTTTGATTATGAGAACTTTGCGCAAACTGCAGCCAGGCACAGGCTCAAACAGAAAAAAAAGGCATCCAACTTTTCACTGGTTCACCACTTTTCAAGGGGGCCGAGAGGTTAAAAGCACTGACTGTTCTTCCAGAGGTCCTGAGTTCAATTCCCATCAACTACACGGTGGCTCACCAATTTTCAAATGGTTAAGAACTGTCCTCGCAGGATTTTTCTACTTGAGTCATAGAGGCTGTATTGTACACAGAAGCATTAGGGTTGCCATCTTCAGCCATGCCGCTAGCTTGCTGGTTGTTAAGGGCCTTGTCTATTGAGTGCTTACTGGGAGGTATTCCCCCATATGGATCATCTCAGATGGTATTCCCAACACTCAACACAGGTGCTCAGAGTGAGTTGTCCAGCCTCACCCTAAAACAAGGAGCAGGATCCAAACCTGAGTCTATATAAAACCAAAGGTCAGGCTCCACTTGTTTCTGACAACACACCCTTACTTTAGTATGCAGCTGATGTTCCTTTTTCACTTTGCAAAAACCTGCAGTGGTCTGGCAGTGCTTTTTTTTTTTTTTTTTTTCCCAAATTGTGGAAGGGTGTGGTAGCACATGCCTGAAATCCCAGCTCTAAGGAGAGAGATGTGAAAGGATCAGAAATTTATGAAGACCGCCTTAGCTACACAGTGATTTGATCAGTCTGATCCTATCTCAAAAATTCTGTCTAATTATTATTCATTAAGAAAAGCACTGTTAGGGCCATGGAAATAGTTCAGCAGGTGAGCTGTTCCAGCGCAGGGACTTGAATTCAGATTCTCAGTACCCATGTTAAAAAAGCAAGGTACAGCTGTAATCCCATCTCTGGGACTTGCTGGTGAACTAGCATAGATGAACGGTGACCTCATATTCAGTGTCTGAAAATGATGTCTGGTCTTCACATACATGCACGCATACATATCAGCATCCACACATGTACACACACACAACACACACATACACAGTTCAGTAATGAAGGACTCTGATGGAAGTAATTCTTTTTGTGAATCACCGCTCCCGGGCCCTATACTGTTATTTTTATTTTTTCGAGGAGGAGGTTGCAGTAGGTAGCCTTGGCTGGCCTGTCAGTGCGTAGACCAGGCTGGAATCGAACTCAGGAAACCTACCTGCCTCTGCTTCCTGGGATCTGGGATTAAAGGCATGCAACACCATGCCCTGCTAGACAGTAAAATAAATAAGCAAACAAATAAACCCGTCCTTCAAGAGACTGTTCTCTGGATGAGTCTCCAGGTATCAAGATGTAACTGAAATGTATCATGAAGCTTGATTTTTATTTTTAAAAATGGCTTGGTGGTTTGTTTTTTTGTTTTGAGACACTGTCCTCCTGTGTAGCCCTGGCTGGTCTGGAATTCACTAAGTAGATCAAGCAGGCCTTGAATTCACAAGAGATACACCTGTTTCTGCTTCCAGTGCTGGGCTTAAAGGCATGTGCCATGACACCCAGCTCCAAGCTGGATTTTTTTTTTTTTTTTAAATAATTTTCTTTATTTAGTATGCAATGTTCTGTCTGCAGGTACACCTGGATGCCAGAAGAGGGCACCAGATCTCATTATAGATGGCTGTGAGCCACCATGTGGTTGCTGGGAATTGAACTCAGGACCTCTAGAAGAGCATCCAGTGCTCTTAACCTCTGAGCCATCTCTCCAAGCCCCCGAAGCTGGATTTTTAAATTATCAACTATTATGTAGAAAATAAAATCTTCTCCTTGGGCTTTCAAAGTACAATCAATTCATCCAGAAAGAATGGGAACTAATCAGGTCACTTATCAAAGTAATTTTTAAGGGCTGAGAATGTAGCTCAGTTGGAAGAATATTTGCCCAGAATGTACAAAGCTAGATCCAGTACACAGTACTACACAAAACTGGGTGTGATGACATAGACCTATGACCTGGGCTTGATCAGGTATCATTCTCCACTGGGCAGACAGTGGCTTCTCTACCTGCCACCTGACAGGCCAGGACTAAATTCCAAGAGACATTCAGGGGCAGGGGTGTATGTGTGTGTTCAAGCAGTTGTTACAGGTTTCTTGAGCTTTTTTCAGAATTAAACACAAGCTTTATCCACCTGGTCAGGTTTGGTCTGTGCAGGAACAAACCACACCACCACCTTGGGAAGAAACCAAGTTCCAGCCAGAAGTTCAAGGTCACTGTTATCCCCAAAGCAAGTTGGAGGCCAGCCTGGACTACAGACAGCTCTGTCTCAATGAAATAAAACATTAAGCACGATGTGGTGACGCACACCTTTAGCTGAGGTTGGGTCAGAGGGAAGGTGCTTACCTGGCTTATGCAAGGCATTGTCTTCTACAGCCTCACACATACATATACAAAGATACTTTTATCTAGCAGCTTTTATGGGCTTTTGAGGTTTGAATCCCCTTTCAGGCATGAGTGTTGAAGTCATTTCTAGCTATCAATGACTAGATAAAATCTCTTCAACTTCAAAATCTATGATTTACCTAGTATCATCCGTAAGAAATCTAAGAAGTCAGGCTCAGTGGCACACACCTGTAACCCCAGCACTCAGGAGGCAGAGGCAGGCGGATCTCTGTGAATTTGAGACCAGCCTAGTCTACAAAGTGAGTCCTGGACAGCCAAGGCCACACAGAGAAACCCTGTCTCAAAAAACAACCAACCGAACAACCAAACAAAAGAAATCTAAGAGGTGTATTCTTAGCCTTATAACTCTCTACTCCACTATGATGGCCCCACAGCCACCACAGCTTCTGGCATGTCAGCACTTCACATCTAACAAGGCCGTTTCAAAGCAAAATGCTCTTTGTTTGGGTGCCAGTGGTGTCCCTGTAGACCAGCAAACTGGAGGACGGCAATAAAGTTAACCTTTTGAAATAAGGACTGAAAGGTCAGCTGTCATGGCATCTGGCCAAAGAGAAGTTAATTTCTTCAGTCTCTAACAGACTTCTCTAGACTAGAATCTAAAGACAGTAATGTTTTAAGACTCTGCTAGATTTCTCTAAAATAAAATCTAAAGACTTTTTTTTAAAGTTAAAAAAAAAAGCTAGGCAGAGGGGCTGGAGGGATGCTTAGTGGTTAACGGTCTGCTCTTCCGGAGGTTCTGAGTTCAGTTCCCAGCAATCATGTGGTGGCTCACAACCGACTATACTGGGGGATCTGAGGTCCTCTTCTGGCCTGCAGGTCTACATGAAGACAGAGCACTCATATATATAAAATAAATAAATAAATAATTATAAATAAATCTTTAAAAAAAAAAAAAGCTAGGCGGTGGTGGCACATGCCTTTAATCCCAGCACTCTGGAAGTAGAGGCAGAGGCAAGCGTTTCTCTGTCAGTTCAAAGCCAGCCTGCTCACCTGTGTGTGGGGGGGGGGTGGACAACGAAACGACTACAACAACAAAAAACACACTAAAAATTAAAAGCTAAGAGAATGAAAACACCTCAAAATGGTGAGATGGCACTATTTGTAAGCGCGTCAGTTTTGTTACAGTGAGTTGGAAGCCTGAATGGCCTACCTAAGACCCTGTAATCAAAGGGGAAAAAACGACTGGAGCTCGAGAGATGGTTCAACAGTTAGAAATGCTTGCTGCTCTTCTAGGGGACCTGAATTTGGTTCCCAAAATTCATATCAAGAACACACAACCATCTGTGTCTCTTGCTCAAGGGATCTAATATTTCTGGTCTTCATTTGCACACGCACGTGGCATACATATACACATAAATAAAAATAAATCTTAAAACATCTTGCCAGGTGGTGGTGGTGCACACCTTTGATCCCAGCACTTGGCAGGCAGAGACAGGCGGATCTCTGAGTTTGAAGTCAGCCTGGTCCACAGAGTAAGTTCCAGGACAGCCAGGGCTACACAGAGAAACCCTGTCACAAACAAACAAACCAACCAACCAACCTTTGGTATGATCAAATGAAGACAATGAAAAACTGTATGGCTGGATATTATAAGCAGTACCCCTCATTTAGCAGAGTGACAGATGAAAAGTGCACAAGGTGTCCCTGTGAAGACTTAAGGAGAAACTACTGTTTCTCCAGACATCTTGGAGAAAGCACTCTGAGGAGGAGGTGAGCAGAACAGCTGCTGTCAGTGATGCAGAGTGTATATAGCGTGTAATGGTGGTTTGAAGCAGGAGCACTCAAGATGACCACCCTTACTTACAAGCTGTCTGAGCACGGGCAGGCTACCTTTGTCTGAGCTTCTCCAGTCATTGAAAAAGCACACAAAAGCACACAAAGGTGGTGCACACCTTTGATCCCAGCAGACGCAGAGGCAGGTGCAGCCTGGTCTACAAATTGATTCCAGGACAGCCAGAGAAATGCTGTCTTGGGAAAGGAAGAGAGAGAGAGAGAGAGAGAGAGAGAGAGAGAGAGAGAAAGAAAAAAAAAATTCAAGGGCATCTAGTGATGGCTCAGCCATAAAAAGCACTTGTTGCTCTTGCAGAAGACTTGGGTTTATTCCCAGCACCTACACGGTAGCTCACAATCATTTGTAACTAATTCCAGGGGATCCAACTCCCTCTTCTATGACTCCCCAGCACCAGCCATGCATATGGTGTATAGACATGCATTTAGGCAAAATAATACACATAAAATAAAAACAAATAAAAAAGGGGGACTACAATAAATCTCCCAGAGAGCTTTCTAGGTATAATACATTAAGTGTAGAGGCTGAAGAGATGACTCAGTGGTTACAAGCACTGGCTGCTCTTCCAGAGGACCTGAGTTCAATTCCCAGAACCCACATGGCAGCTCACAACAGTCTGTAAACCCAGTTCCAGGGGATCCAACACTATCATCCTGACATACTTGCAGGCAAAGACACAAATAAATATACATAAAAATATATTAATTGTAAAAAAAAAAAAAAGTCTAGCATCATAGCTTGCTGGCATTAACTGATCAAATATTCCACAAATGACATCAACATTCCAGTACCTCAACCCTTTAAATTCCTATTTCAGGCTACCATTCCTGCCTTTGGCTTTTGGGGTATGTGTTTGTGTGTGGGAGGGGGGGATGATAGGTGTGTCAATCTTTGTCAACTGAGGCAACTGAGTCACAAATAAAGTTACTGTGTAACATCACCTTTCCCCACCAATACTTGGCGCTGAATCCAGGGTTTCACCTATGTTGAACAAGCACTTTACCACTGATCTGTAGCCCAAGCTTCATCTTTTCATTTTAATAATATTTAAACACCCTTTAAAAAAAATGGTTTTGTAGCACAGAGGCCTCAATCCAGACTCCAGGTCCTTGACATGACATGTATGAAGTCTCAGGTTTGTTTCCCAGCATCACCAAAAATGTGGTGGGGACTGAAGAGATGGTTTAGTTGGTTAAGCACTTGTCTTGCAAACCTGAGGACCCAAGTTTAGGTCCCCCAAACCCAGTAAAAAGCCAGGAATGATACTGAGTGACTCTAAGCATAGGAGGCAGATCCAGGGCGTTGAGGTGGCCCATCCCACACCTACCCCATCTGTGAACTGCTGGAGTGTGTGAAGGGGCCGGTCCTGCACATCCAAAGCTGCAAGGTCTCCATGACCCAGGGCAACAACAGGGTGTCTGAGAGGAGCCGCAGTGAGGATCCAGTATTGAGAGTGCAGCAGAAGCCACGGCCTGGAAGTAGACCAACCACTCTTTGCAATGAACATGTGCAAGTAAAGCTGCCTGGCCAGAGGGACAGTGTGTGTCACATCATACACCACAGCTTCCACATAAGACTTTCTTAGCTTTTATTTTCTACTTTCTTTTGAAGGGTGGACATGGAAGGACTGAAAAATGAGTAGGATGGGGGTCATGATGTGGAATGCACACACACACAAATCAATAAAAAAATCATGGGTGTGTGTGTGGAAGAACAGGAGGCCGAGACAGGAAAAGCCCTGGAAGCTCCCTGGCCACCTCGTCTACCTATTTGGCAAATATGTTTGCAAGAGACTCAAACAAAAATAACAGACACCTGAGGAACAACACCCAAGGTTCTCTGGAGAGCGCTATTTGATGCTTATACCTCTACAAAAATGCATGTGCTCACCTACACATACATGAGCTTCTCTCATCACACACAATTTGGAAAGAGCATTCTCTCAGATACAACTAAAAGTCTGAAAGAAAACCTCACGATAGCATTATTCTCATTTCACCGCAAGTTAAAAACCTGGTCTTTAAGCATAATCCAACTCTAAAACTTGTATCATTACATATCTATTCCTCTTGTTACATCAGGCTTGACATCAAATGTCTTTAGCTGCTAAGGCATTTTGCCAGCTTACAAATTTTTCTTTCCTTTCTTATTTCTAGAAAGGATCTCAGTATGTTGTTAACCAGGCTGGCCTTAAACTTAGAGATCCACCTGCCTCTGGCTCACAAGTACTGGGATTAATGAGGGTGTGTGCCACCATGCCCTGCCTAAGTTTATTTGTTAAAAATGAAATGCTTTTTTAAATCTATAATTCCAGTTTCCCGGGACTTGATGCCTTCCTCTGACCTCCTTTGGCAACAGGCACACAAGGTACACAGACATACATGTGAGCCAAACACACATACAGACACATAAAAATCTTCTAAACTATATCCTAGTTAGACGGAGATTTTGAAGTAGTTGAACATTGAAGCCTAGAGCTACCATGTCTGGAAAAGCAGGGAAGAAAACAGAGCTCCTAGCACTAGGAAACAGAATGGATTGAGATAGGACTTGAGTTGTGTAGTCTGAACTTAGTGACCAAAAAGCAAAAGCTTCATTCCCATGACTAAAGATAGTCTTTGAACAGAAAATACAAAACAAACCAAATAATGCAATGTGAAGGACTCAGTGTTTTATTTTGCAAAGGCTGAATAGAATTTATTTTCTTTTCCTTCCTTTGTTTTTTTTTTAAACAAAACAAGGTCTTAACTATTGCACAGGACAACCCTGAATTCGTGGAGATTCACCTGCCCCTACCTCTTGAGTGCTAGCATTTATGGTGTGTTACCACACCTGCCCGGTAATTTCAGTTCAGTGTCTCTCCCCAACAGTACAAAGCAGTGTAAGTTTAGTTTGAATGTAAGACTGCACACTGAGTAGATAAGCACTCCCTTAGTAAAAATTAAAAAACGTTCCATGCACGTGGCACACATATGCACATAGCCCTGCACTGAGAGCGCCGATCTAATACCTGCCCAGGTCTTACTGTGAAGCAACACCAGTGGAGTGGCAGGGATACTTTTATTCACTCTGGTTTCTCTGGGTAGCCCTGGTTGTCCTGCCTCTGCCTCCCAAGGACTAGAATTAAAAATGTGGGTCACCACGCCCTGAAGCACTCATTCATTTTAAGAGGCTGCCAGAGGGACTGAAAAGACAGCTCAGAAGTTAAGAGCTTTTGTTGGTTGTGCAGAGACTCAAGGTTCAGTTCCCAGCATCCACACAGTAGCTTCTAATCGTCTCTAGTGTCAGTTCCAGGGATCTGAGCCGCTCTGAACTCTGAGGGCACCAGGCATGCATGTGGTAGACAGCCATACATGCAGGCAAAACATTCCCACACATAATAGCTGGGCATGGTGGCACACGCCCTTAATCCCAGCACTCAGGGAGGCAGAGGCAGGCGGATCAATATGAGTTCAAGGCCAGCCTGGTCTACAATGTGAGTCCAGGATACACAGAGAAACCCTGTCTTGGAGGGGGGGGGGAAGTGCCCAGCGGTAGATAGTACCCAGTGCTCCTACAACATTTCAACTTCAATACAGGAAGCTGAAGAGGAGATGCCAAATGGAAAGGAATACAGAAACATATTTACAATATGCATGTTCAAACTAAACATCTGTTAGAAATTTTAAAGTTAAAAAAAAAAAAAAGCAACTGAGAAAACTTGGGGCTTATGGGCTAAAGCAACTTGTCCAAATACCTTCAGCAAATCACTGGTGGGCTAGGACTCTACAGGTCTTTTATACTCCAGTCTAGTCTTTGACCACAAACAATGTTCTCAGCTGTAGCTGTACACAGTATTCACGTGGAACTGTAATAGATTCTTATGTCCAGGAAATACACCAGACTAATGGATCTCTTGCTAGGGAGACTACAACTTCAGCACTTTTCTGCCTGCACGTACACCTGCACATCAGAAGAGAACACCACATCTCACTATAGATGGTTGTGAGCCACCATGTGGTTGCTGGGAATTGAACTCAGGACTATGGAGGAACAGCCAGTGCTCTTAACCTCTGAGCCATCTCTCCAGCCCCACTTCAGCACTTTTTAAAACATTTCTAACATGAAGGCAAGAGTCATGGTGCCTCCAAGATAATCAGGCACAAAGCAGGGTTCTAGGAATAAGTTTATTGGAGCTTCCTGACAACTGCCAAAAATTCTAGACCAGCTTCCCATTTGTTCCCATAGCCATTGTGATAATCACCACTGGATCAATGACACAGTATTATGGAATTACAGACACTTTGTTATTCCCAATAGCTTGCCACAAAAGATTCCTTTTTAATTTCTTGGACTGTCACAAATGACGTATCCAAGTCCAGGTACAATCTGAGAACAATGGTTTCTCTCTGAACACATGTGGCCCCATGTGGGCCACTGTGTCATGCAGACAGCTTTCCTCTCTTCCTCTCCTTCTCTATCCTAAACAGTTTGATCTCAAACCTGTTATGTATCCCAGTCTGTTATGTATCCCTTGAACTCACAACCTGCCTGTCTTGTTTTTTCAGGCACTGGGATTAGAAGTGTATGTAAACCACAGGTTGAGCTCTGTCCTGTTTTTTGTTTTAAATAATTTATTATTTTTATTTTATGTGTATTGGTGTTTTGCCTGCATGTATATCTGTATGAGGGTGTCAGATCTTAGAGTTATTGACAGTTGCAAGCTGCTACGTAGGTGATGGAATTGAACCCAGGTCTTCTGGAAGACAGTGCTCCTAACCACTGAGCCATCTGTCCAGCCCTATCCTGTTTTTCAAAGAAAGACAGCAATGTCTATTCCACTGCGAAGCCAGCCCTTACCTGCTCTCCAGTCTTCTTGCAGGTCTGTTCTTCTCATGGCAGTAAGGTACCTACTACCTATGTCATTAGGATGTTAACACATAAAAACAACTACAAGTGCTGTTAAATGTTTATTGGTATTAAGCAGGTGGGATGGTGCAAAAGTGCAAAGAAACTTAGGCATTTGGGCCCTTCTTTCCCTACTGATCACATCAGTGTAGAACAAGATTAAGTAACACTAAGAGGAATAGAAGAAACAAACATAAATACACCTACAGTAGCCAAATCCTCTAACTCAGTGAAGGATGAGCTGACATTTTCAGCCTCAATTCACATTTATCTGAGAGCCTAAACCAATTACATGCTCTCTACCTGTTCTAGGCCTGTGAAAAAGGGCAGTGGACAACATTTATATTACAAGACAGCAACCTTTTATTAAAACTGTTTTTGTCTAAAACTACAGAGTTTGCTCTCTTGTTCATAAATTAGGTAAGTCTAACATCACTAAATCAATATTATATACAAACAAGAACCTTCTCTTCGCTTTATCAGTAGGTTCACAGACCCTAAACTTTAAACACCACTTCAGTCTAAATGTTTAAGTCTTGCCATCAAACCCAGGCAACCCTTTTAAGGGTCGGGAACAGCTTTTGACAGCAACATTTATCATTCACCAGAATGTAAGCCACAAGTGAACAGGATGGACACATTCCAAACAATTCCTATTTGCTTTCCAAAATCATGCTGTGCCTAGTTCATTTCTACGCAGACAAACCTCTTTTAAACCAGGAGTGGGATGGCTTAGTGTGTGAGGATGGACTCTGTAAACGACGCCAGCAGACAAAAAGTCAATTGAACTTGAACCCAGACCTCCACACGCCCTGACGACGGGCCCACTCTGGCAGGTTGTTCTCACTTCATCTGAAGTCACAGGTGCAGGGTTCTTACTCCCCAAAACAGAGAAGAGACTCCTCAGAAACTCAAATCAAAATAACAAAAATTGCTGGCATATTGTACAGTTTCTTGGACTCCAACAGGCTGGCCCCAGAAGGAAATTTATCTTAGCTACTCATAGAAAGGTAAAGTTTGTGTATATACAAAAAGACAATATTATGAGACTGTAGTGTCACTGTCAAAAAGAATATCCACAATGGAACTGTCAATAAACACTTGAGATAAAGGGCAATCAAAATACAAGGGAAAGGAAAATACACATAAGTTAATTCCTTATTGAGAAATCAATAGAATGTATGCATAAATTGATAAATACTGTCTCCATGGTCACTAATTCCAAGGACTAGTTAGTAGTTAGTTTCTAGCTAAATAATCACAGGACACTCTGGTACAGGCTCTCTTCTGTGGTCAGTTTGTTCTGGCAACTCCATCAAGCACTTGCCCTCGAAAACAACTCAGCAGGAGAAGGCTCTGAGGCAGCCACACTTCATTTAGAAGCAACCCAGATAACAACTACCAAGACTGTAATAATCACTGACAGGACAAGCACGAGGATACACATCTTCTTGCGAGATTTTTTCTGAGGAAAGAAATATTTAAAGACACTCATGAAACAAGTAAAAATTTACACCTGAGATTTAGAGTGCGTCATAATCTGCCTCCTTGAAATTCTAACATTCTTCTATTTCTCTGCTGGGATTTAGCCCGGGGCCCTGCACATGCTAGGTAATCTGCTGCTGAGTCACTTCCCGGCCTATAATTAAATTTTTGTTTGGTTAGTTTGTTTTTTGTTTTTTGTTTTTTTTTTTCAAACAGGGTTTCTCTGTATAGCTCTGGCCATTCTGGAGTCAATTTATATGCCAGGCTGGCCTCAAACTCAGAGATCTGCCTGCCTCTGCCTCCCCAAGTGCTGGGGTTACAGGCATGTGCCATTACACCTGGCTTTATAATTAACTCTTACCATGCACAAAGATGCAAACATCTCAAAATTCTCAAGCCACCAGTTCAAAGTACTAGTGCAAGGTTTTTGTTTGTTTGTTTTTTGGGACAGGGTTTCTCTATGTAGACTGGGCTGTCCCAGACTGGCTTTGTAAACCAGGCTGGCCTCGAACTCAGAGTTCAACCTGCCTCTGCCTCCCCAAGTGCTGGGACATTTTAATTGTCCCCAAATACAATTTTGCAAAGGAGCTATGCCTTTGTCTTGGGTGTTTATAATATGACTTGTCTCACACTAGTCAGCTTCTTCCTGGATCTCCATCTACCCCCTTGACCTCCATGGCTAGAATTACAAGCAGCTGCCACATCTACCTGTGGGATCTGAGGATTTGGAAGCCAGGCCTCCTGTTTACTTTAACCACCGAGCCTTCTCCCTAAGCCCTTGTGTGTATGTTTTAATAATCACTTCACTTCTATCACAAATTGCACATTCACTGGAAAACATACAGGCAGTAGAAAAAAAAACCAATCACCCATAGATAAGACTGCTAACATCTGATTCTATTTATTTCTGTTCACTTGGGTTGGTTTGTTTGTTTGAGATCAGGTCTCATTATGTAGGCGTGGCTAGCCTGGAGCTTTCTCTATAGACCAGGTTAGCTTAATCTATAGAGATCTACCACCTTGGCCTCCTGAGTGCTGGGTTAGAGGCTTGTGCTAGCATGCAAGATTCCTTCTGCTCTCTCATCTATGAATATTCCTGTTTGGTATAACTGGATTATACTGTATTTTGATGTTTTTCTCATTTAACATTTAGCCCAAACTCTTCTTTTTCTGCTATAATCTCATTAACATCTTTTAGTTCCCACATAATACAACATTGAGTAGATGGAATTTTTACTGCTGTAAACTAAGGAAATACTGTTATGAAGCATGACTTCCTCAAGTGTACTCCCAGTTAAAATACAGCTACCCCAGGAAGAGAAAATGACTAAAATGCTAGCTACTTCTAAAGAGCTGCGCAATACCAACTGAGGGAAAATGAGGACCTTATTTTTATTATCTAAAACCTGAGTTATAGGATCAGAGAAAGAGCAGGGTGTGGTGGCACGCCTTTAACCCCAGCACTTGGGAGGCAGAGGCAGAAGGACCTCTGAGTTCAAAGCCAGCCTGGTCTACAGAGTGAGTTACACGCCTATCAGGACTACACAGTGAGTCCCTGTCTCAAAAACCAAAATAAAACAAAGACTCATTAAAGTCATAAAGGCAGAAGAATCCCCTTCATGGCACAGCTGCATAAAAGTTAAGCACTGTGTACATACAGCTGTCATGGTTGACTCTAGGGGCCCATACTCTGGGTCAACAGTCCATATAAGGTGTCTCGGAAACTCCAATCTCCCTGAAGCTTTTACTCTCCCAACAGCCCTGCCATTTAGGATATAAGATTAGCATCATGCTAGATTTAGGCATCAAGCTAGCTCATGAAATTAGTTTTGCATCCACACAACTTCTGTGTAAGTTATTCAAGATCTGATGGTGTTAGAGATCTGGCTACAAAGATAAATACTAAAAATGGGACTGGAGCTGCAGATTATACCTGCCTCCAGCTTAAACCCAGGCAAAAGGCTGCGGCAGTCTGCAATGTGTCAACACAGCCTGGGGGTTCACTACATCTCCAGCATTGAGTGACTTTCTGTGGTTTTGGCTTTTTTGTTTGTATTTACCTGATAGTAAGCAGCTCTTTGTAGCTGATCAGTGGCTCTCTCCACATGCACCTCTGAGCTTTCCACATTGGCTTCTATGCTATCTGTGAAAAATACAATGCACATTTCAGCACATTCAGGCATTCAATATTCAGGAAAAAATAAAACCAATTTCTTTCTCTCCTTTTATAATATAAATGGGTGTTTTGTCTAAATGTATGTCTATGTACCATGTGCATTCCTAGAGTCCAGAAGAGGGTGTTAGGTCCCTTAGAACTGGAGTTACAGATGGTTCTGAGCTGCTATGTAGGTGCTGGGAATTGAACCATAGTCTTCTGGAAGAGCAGTTCTCTTCCACTGTTCTTAGCTGCTGCGCCATCTCTACACCTCCCCTGAACAGATCTGATGTCACAGGCCTTAGTTTCACTATGACCATCCAAACTAACCAGTCATGAAATCAAAATTTACCTCTTTTCATTTAGTTTTTTGAGGTAAAATTCTCATGTAGTCTAAGATGGCCTTAACATCTTCAATAATATGCTATGTAGCTTATGCTACATAGGTTTTGATCAGGTCTTGAACTCCTGATCCTCATAACTCCACCTGAGTGCCAAGGTTAGCGGCATCACTATCATTCCTAACTACAAGTTTCTAACTTGATGAGAGAACAGCACCATTGTTCAGAAATAAATGCTGAGATATTTAATAGCAAGGGGTTACTACTTACGCAATTCACCTATATGGGGTTCAAGGAAAAAACTGCGTGTGAGGGCATGTCACCTATTTATGTATATACACACACAGATGGGGACACATCACAAAACAAATGGAGCAAAATGTTGTTAACCAGAAAAATTCTGGGGAGGGATATAAAAGACTCTCTCTATTGTTTTTATTTTACAGCTTTTTATGAGATCATTAAGCCCTCAATCCTGCAAGATCTGGAGCTGAAAGCTGGGGCACGGACAACTCGCATGCTGTTACCAGAGAACAGGCCTGACCACAGAGCACCCCTTAGGACTCAACAGTTGACTGTATATGAATTCAGCTGGGTGTGATGGCGCTCGCCTTTAATCCCAGCACTACACTCAGGGAGGCAGAGGCAGGCGAATCGCTGTGAGTTCAAAGCCAGCCTGGTCTACAAAGCGAGTCCAGGACAGCCAAGGCTACACAGAAAAACCCTGTTTAGAAAAACAAAACAAAAACAAAAAAAGAAAAGAAAGAAAACAAATAGATTCAGCGCCAGGCAGTTGTGGTGTGTGCTTTTAATCCCAGCACTAGGAAGGGAAGAAGCAGGTGGATCTCTATGAGTTATAGGCCACCCTGCTCTACACAGAAAGTTCCACGTTCCAAGACAGCAGGGCTATTACAGGGATTAAAAACAACAACAAAAAAACAAAAAAAAAAAAAAAGAGTAATTTAAAAAAGATATTCCTACATTTTAAGTCTCTAGGTGACCCATCTGTTGTAGATGGTAAACATGTTTCTGTTTCAATCCGAGGTGTAGAATATGGGGCTGATTCAGATTGTCCACAGCAGCAAACTATTTCCCTCATGAGAGCTCTGAGAGGGGCTGTAGATAGTTTAATTCTGAGGACTCTGGTGAGGCAATAGAGGCCAGGGCCCAGACAGCGTTGGGGCTCCAGGGAAGAGGCTGCTGCTGTTCCCCCTGCTGCTCATGGTTGCTTCTGATGCAGCTTAACAGGAAGAAGTTGGAGATCTCCTGAAATGAAGACTCGACTTGCCCCAAGGAACCCAACAACCCTAACCAGCAGGAACTCACTAAAGAGAACTCTGGCCCCTCTCCTTACTAACGTTCCTTTTCTCCTACCCAGTGTGGGGTGTTGGAAGGGACTGGGGTGAAGAAGAGAGGAAGAGGATTAAGAAACATGAATAAAATAGAGTTAAAAAGTAGCACCTATGCCCATCTTATTCAGTTCTCTGTACTCACCCCAAGGTTAGAGGTATAATAGTACATACCAATCAGATCACCTTGGTCATGGATCATCATAGCTAAATCTTTAAATATCTGATTGACATCCAATATGTCAGCCTAAGGGAGATAAAAAAAACAGAACAATTAACTCACATTAAGCAACATGTTAGAAGATTTCTTTCCTGCCCTTCCCTAAAGATTAACAATCACATGTGTTTTAAAGCTTTCTCTATGAACAGAAAACTATCTATTGCTACTTACCTAATATTATAGAACAGAAGACATGAAATCCCCCCATCAACTGCACATGTTACCTGGAAACCAGTAAGATCTTTAAATCTAAACTTTATACAACAGAACCTGGGGTGCTATGATGGACACATGCACCCCGTGATGGTCCTAGGTGGAGCACACCAATGTTAGTGACTACAGAACTCTGGGCCACAGAATTCAAATGGCTTCTATAGGACTGTGCCGCCTGGGGAACACATGCAACACCAACAACCAAGGAGCTGGTTCTCTCCAGGACTGACTCTAGGTCTAGTTGAGGAACTGCTGGATTCTACTGACACTTGGATGATGCCCTATAAACAACTTTCAACCACAAAGAGTTTAGATGGTAGAGAACAGTGGGTACGGTGAAAGGATAGCATCATGTGCCAGTCTGCTGTTCTGACTGAAAAAATTTAGTAACTAGTCAATTTGGTGGGCTAAACTGCACAGTTTTCGTGGCAGTGATAGAGATAAGACTTTTTTCATTTGTTTGTTTTGTTTTAGATTTATTTATTTGTTTATTATATAGTGTTCTGTCTGCATATACATCTACATAGCCAGAAGAGCACCAGATCTCATTACAGATGGTTGTGAGCCACCATGTGGTTGCTGGAAATTGAACTCAGGTCCCTTAGGAAGAATAGCTAATGCTCTTAATCTGTGAGTCATCTCTCCAGCCCTGGTTTTGTTTTTTTTTTTTTTTTTTTTTTTTTTTTTTTTTTTTTTGAGACAAGGTTTCTCTGTGAAGCCTTGGCTGTCCTGGACTCGCTTTGTAGACCAGCTTGGCCTCAAACTCCCAGAGATCTGCCTGCCTCTGCCTCTCTGAATGCTGGGATTACAGGCGTGTGCCACCTCCCCTGACAGGAAATAAGATTCTTTATGTTCAGGTTTTTACGTACTCAATAGGTAATAAGGCCTGGCTGACACATGTCAGGCAGAAGAGCAGTGGACTGGCTATTAAGGGTATGGTCATTTGATGTGTGGGACCAGTTAGGATGAGGAGGTGTGGCCTTGTTAGAGGAGGTGTGTCACTGGGTGTGGGCCTTAAAGTTCCAAAAGTCAATGACAGGCCCAGTCTCACTTTTATTTCTGCCTCCAACTTATGAATCAGATGTAAGCTCCCAGCAACTGGCACAATGCCATGCCTGCCTGCCTAAACCGTAAGCAAGCACCCTATTAAATGCTTTCTTTTAGAGGCTGGAGAGATGGCTCAGAAGTTAAGAGGAATTGTTGCTCTTATGGAGGTCCCAGGTTCAGTTCCCAGCACCCACTTGGCAGCCCACAACCACCCAGAACTCTAGATCCAGGAGACCTGACTCCTTCTGATCCCTAGGAGCACTCACAAACAAAAAAATAAAAAATAAACTAAAATTTAAAAATTTCCAAGTTTAAGCCACACCTCCCAATTCCTACTTAGTAGTCCACTGACTGGGGCAATACTCATTCAAACCAACTATGATTACACCTTTAACAGCATTTTTAAATGGTTCTTCAAAAATACATTGCCTTGGTCACAATGGAGTTCTAGGAGCCAAAGGCAGTCTATACAACTCTCCCTCAACCCCACATCAAAAATGGTTCCAACTTTGACCCACTGAAGTGACTAGAACTATACTTGGAACTGGACTTTAAAATTTACAAAAATAGAGCCAGTGCTTTGGCCTGCCCCCCCCCCTTTTTTTTTTCTTTTCTACTGTGCATGGGTGTTTTGGTCTGTATGTATGTCTGTGTGAAGCTGTTGGGTACCCTGGAACTTGAGTTATAAACTATGAGCTGCCATGAGGGTCCTGGGAATTGAACCCAGATCCTTTGGAAGAATAGCCAGTGCTCTTAACCGCTGAGCCATCTCTCTAGGCTTTCTGATTGCTATTCAGACTATGAAAGGAGCTTTCTACAGAACCCTGCTTAACCTGAAGACTGCCATTAAGATGGGGAAAGTTCTAGAAAGTAACACAGTATCATCTGCCTTGCTGCTTTCCATGCATGTTCTTCTCCCAGACATCATATGCTACAGGGAGTTTGAGGAAAAATCTGGGTGCTCTTAAGTGCCAAGGCCAGCAGCACAGAGCAGTAGTTCAATTTTACAATAACTTAAATTGATCAGCACATAGCAGTAGTTCAATTTTGCCATAATTAAATTAATAGATGATATAAAATATACAAAGACTCAATCCAGCTCTTTTCGTATTAATCCGGCAAAATAAATCTCCAGATATCTGTAGACTCCTGAGCCAACCAAGAGCAATAGCCTGCCTCTTACCTCCAGCTGCCGGATCGCTGTTTCCCTCTCTTTAATAAGTTCCAGGTCTTGCTCAGTGATGGGCGCCTCATCCTCCTGTCTCTGCATCTGGTTCCATTCCTCATGGCTACAGGGAGACAAGCACTCCAATTTATTCCTTCTCTCCAAGGTACAAGGAGCCACAGCTACATGTCTACTGACCACCAAACCTAGGCAGATGTCTCTCAGAACCCAACTCGGCTGCTATCAAAATCCCTGAAGGCCTAAATCCTAAACAAAGGCAAAGATGTGATACCAAGAAAATACAATTTCAGCTAAAGGGAAACTGTGATGATGCAGAATTATAGAGGATAGGCCTCTTTGCCTTTTCCACTTAGGGGTATATTGGCAGTCTTACTAGGACTTGCTAGACAAGGGAAGTATCCAGAGGTTTAAACTCAATGAATTGCACTGACCCAGCTCTCCAGGGCACTCTCAAAGTACAAGTAATGTTGGTATCAGGAGCACTAAATGAATGGAGAAAAGCAGACTAAGCTGTCAGAACCATGCCTGGTTCCTAGGAATTTCCATGAGACTGTGTTTTGGGATTGATTCTTCCACTTAACAGAAAACCAAACTGAAAGCTAATGCTTGTAACATGATTTGTTTTGGGTACTTACAAGAAAAGTATGGGGGCTGGAGAGATAGCTCAGAGCACTGGCTGTTCTTTCAAAGGTCCTGAGTTCAATTCCCAGCAACCACATGGTGGCTCATAACCATCTATAAAAAGATCTGGTGTTCTCTTCTGGCCTGCTGGCTCACATGCAGGCAGGATACTATATAAATAATAAATAAGTAAATCTCTTTTTAAAAGGTGTGCTATTTATTAAGTAGCTGGGCATGGAGCCTGCTAGTCAGAAGACAGGATTGGATCCTCTGGAACTGGACTATAAACAGTTGTAAACCACCATATGAGTACTAGGAACTGAAACCCATTCTTCTGCAAAAGCAGCCTGTGTTCTTAATCACTGACTCATCTGTCCAACTCTAATTATTTAGTCATTTACTTACTTATTTGACAATGAAGCTATGTAGCTTAGACTATCCACCAACTTTCTTGATCCTCTTGCCTCATTCCCCAAAGTGCTGGGGTTACAGGCATGCATTACTATGCCTAACTCAAGTCCCTGATCTTTTTTATTTATTTATTTATTTTTCTCTTTTCTGTTTTTTCGAAGCAGGGTCTCACAACATAGCTCTGGCTGTTCTAGAATTCACTGTGTAGACCAGGCTGACCTGACTCACAGAAATCCACCTAATTCTGCCTACCAAGTGCTAGGATTAAAGGTGTGTGCCACTATGCCCAGCCCTGACTTTAAAAAAAAAAAAAAGATTTTATTTATTTATTTTATGTATGAGTACTCTATCTGCATGTAGGCCTGCATGCCAAAGAAAAATGGACATCAGATTCCACTATAGATGGTTGTGAGCCACCATGTAGTTGCTGGGAATTGAACTCAGGACCTCTGGAAGAGGGAAGAGCAGTCAGTGCTCTTATCTGCTGAGCCACCTTTCCAGCTCCTGTTTTGTTGTGGTTGTTGTCTGTTTTTGTTTGTTTTGAAGTAAAAAACAGACAAAAAGAGACTAGAGAGATGGTTCAATGTTAATGGTCAAGGGCATTGAATGCTTTTACAGGGATCGAGGTGTGATTCCCAGCGCCAACACAAAAGCTCACAACCATCTGAAACTCCAGTTTCAAGGGCTCCAAAGCTCTCTTGTAGCCTCTATGGGCACCAGACATTCACATGGTGTACAGAATTAAATGTAAACAAAACCCCCACAAACATAAAGAAGAGTAAAAATATAGGCACAAAGATATGGATTTGTAGTAACTATCCAGCAGGCTGGATGAGTGATTCTTTACCTGTCAAATGAGACGAGCTGCTCTTCTCTTTGCCTGTCTTCTGCCTAGAAAGCAGATGGCATTATTGCTGCTGTTATCCAAAACCAGGCCAGAAACACACAAAACAAGAGTTGCCTTAGCTACAGTACTACAGAGTGGTATCCCTCGACTCTAACCACATCTGTAAGATGACACAGGGTTCTGGCAATTTGCCTTGAGTAAGAAACAAGTATGGAATGGGTGAGAACAAATCTGCCTTTCCAGTTTAGACTCAAGAACATAAAGTATTCTGCACAGGATGGAGGTGATGACTGTTATCTGGTGGACAGTGAACAGGGTCAGTGGTTGGAAAATGGAAAATACTGGGTAACTCTCTGGGATTGTAAAGGCCTTCTCATGGGAATGAACTCACAGAAAGACGAGATCCAGCCCTTGCTCTGGCGATACTTTCTTTTTCCTTCTCAGATACCCTTCTCTGCACAACCTGGAAATTGTTTAAGGCTGACGAGAAGTCATTCATGAGGCGTTCCTTCTGAAGTTTCTGTTGGCGCTGAAGAAATTAAACAAGAACTTGAAATTTCAAATCAACTCAGAATCATTTGGTTTTAATACCCATTAAAACCACAACTGTATACTTAAGACATTTCTAAAGTACAAATATTATTACAAAATAGACTCTTCCTTAAATTAGTAAGTTTGTTCCTTCCTAAATCAGACCTCTGGTTAACCCTATGGACCAGGTAAAAGTACACTAATGAACCTGAGAATTAGGTGTCATTTATCGCATAACTCAAAAGAAATTGCAATTTGGAATATTTGTTGCTTGGAGAACCTAAATGTATAGTAAAGGCCTTTGAGCTCAGGCTGTCTAAATAGGTTACTTTTTTTTCCTGGAAACACTGAAACTCTATTTCTCTATATTGAGTGTAGTAAGAATTTTGGATTCTTTAAAAACACAGTTTTGTTATGTGAATATGTTTTTGTTCTAATCCCAGGTGTGGGATATTGGGCTGCTTCAGACTGTCCACGGCCATTAACTATGATTGTCTTGTGCTCTAGGAGGAGTGTGCTTTTTGCCCGCTGTTGAGTGTTTAGTCCTGGGGACCCTGGAGGGAAATGGAAGAAAGCAGAGGGTGCTGGTGTGCTCTGAATGCCACGGTGAGTTGCTGGTTGCTGGGTATCTGACAGCGAGGACTGGACTTGCCCCTAGGAGCCTGACAGCCTCAACCAGCAGGAAATAGTCTAAAGACGTTACAACCGTTTCCCTCTAAAATTTCCTCTCCTACCTGGTGTTGGGGAATTGAAAGAAATTAGGGCGATATAAGGATTGGAAGGGTGGTAGATATAAGAATGAAATAGCTGAAGCCAGACGTGATGGTGTAAGGGAGGCGGAGGTAGGTGGGTCTCTGTGAGTTCGAGGCCAGCCTGGTCTTCAGAGAGTACAAGACAGCCAAGGCTACACAGAGAAACCCTGTCTGGGGGGAAAAAATGAATAAAGTAGCCAAAAAGCCCACTTATAATTGAGTTATTAGCTTTCTTAAAATCTATCATTTATTTTATTATACAGTTTTTCTTTTTTTCATTTTAAATTTTCAAGAACTTAAAAACTACTTTATTTACCTATAGGCTACCTTCACTAGGTTTCGTCTTTCTCAAAACACAAACTGAGAGACCCCACCCTGGGATAGACACAGACAGGGAAAGGCACCCCAGTCTCAGCAACTCACCATCCATTTATTCATGGACTGTACAGAACACCATGACAGTGACACAGTTACCGCCATACCTAAGTTAAGTACTGTATTTGGTTTGGTTTGGTTTGGTTTGGTTTGGTTTGAGACAGGGTTTCTCTGTGTAGCCTTGGCTATCCTGGACTCATTCTGTAGACCAGGCTGGCCTCAAAATCACAGAGACCCCCCTGCCTCTGCCTCCCAAGTGCTGGGAAGGCCACCACCACACCTAGCCTGTACTTATAAAATAGCTTATTTTCCCACATCCTAGAAAGCTAGAAAGTACCAAAACTTGAAAGGAAGGAAGGAAAGAAGGAAGGAAGGAAGGAAGGAAGGAAGGAAGGAAGGAAGGAAGGAAGGAAGGAAGGGAGGGAGGGAGGGAGGGAGGGAGGGAGGGAGGGAAAGTTGAATCCAAAGGTGTATGCATGTATTCATAAGAGAATCAAAACTGGAAAGCAGGGAAGGGCTAACCAGCCAGTTCCCAGCATCAGACTAGGGAACTCAGGGATCACCCTTAAGGAACAGAGCAATGGCCACTGAGTGGGGACACAGCCTGACAAGCACAACTACTAACAGAAAAATTAGCCTGTGACGGCATGCCAGCTGGAATAAGAAGTTAAAAAAAAATTACCACAACAATCTAGATTTAATGAGTAGGAGGACATAATGGCAGTAATTAGGTCACAAAGGGAGTTTACTTGGGGAGGCAAAGGCAGGTGGCCCTCTGTGAGTGCAAGGATAGCCTGGTAAAGTCAGTTCTAGCCAACCAGACCCACACAGTAAGACTTTGTCTCAACAAAGAAACAGACAACAGCCCCCAAAGAAACTTCTGTAAGCTGCAATCCCAGTGCTCAGGAGAATCCCTCCCAACCTCGCCCTCTAAAATTACTGGAGCCAGGCATTTTATCCCAGTACTCAGGAAACAGGCAAGAGGATTTCTGTGAGTTTGAGGCCAGCCTAGTCTCCATAGTGATTTCTAGGACAGCCAGGGAAACACAGAGAGACCAACCAACTGATAGATAGATAGATAGATAGATAGATAGATAGATAGATAGATAGATAGATAGATAGATAGATAGATAGATAG